CAGCAATGAATGAATGGAAATCCAAATTCTCTGTAAATGTTCATTAAATTTATTTTAAAAAAATTTAAAAAAACTATACAAATAAGTAAAATTAATAATAATTTAGCATATTTAATCCATGACATTGGATAATTAAAAAATGCTGTTTTGGTTTGGCTTATTTAAACTTTTTATTGTTTTTCATTCAATCATCTATATTTGATTTTATAACATTAATTACAGTTGATTAATTAATTCTAATGTCTCGTCACTTACTGTATATCACCTTTGCCTTCAGCCAGCCTCCCTTCATACTTGTTTGTCCTAAGATTGATTCTGTGTGTAAGGCTTTCCTTTGCTTTTCATGTTAGTCGTCTTACCAAATCCATAGCAGAGTCCGCTATGGATCGGTTCTAACTCAAAGGTAGACAATAATGCCATACCATAATTGTCCTTTTGTGACTGACTTCTGTCACTTAGCATAATTTGTCCTAGTTTCATCCATGTTGTACATTTCACATGATCTTGATTGTTTTTTATTGGTGCATTATACTCCATTGTGCAAATGCAATTTCTTTACCCATTTGCCTGTTGATGGACACTTGAGTTGTACGAAATCTCATTAATCTGCCAAAAGAGCTTTCTTCCTACTTTTTCCCACCTGCCTAAAATTCTAACAAGAGCTGTTTTGAGTTAGGGATTCTAGGAATTCCAGGCTTTATTACTCCAAAAACATACCTTTTTCAGAGACATGTATATTTGTGATGCTTTTTTTAACCCATTGAAATAAAAGTGATGTAAGTTGATCTAGGATACTTTATGTAATTGGCCTACCTGTTTGCGGTGGACTGTGGATGTGACTGTACACATACAATCCTGAGTTGAAAGTTCACATTAGAAACTTATTCTGGTAAAAGGGGAGGGGAGAGAATGACTTTCGTAAGGCCCAAATAAGAATTCTGGAAAATCTCACTGCTCAAATATCTATTTATTCACATAGCTTATCAAATCATTTAACATGCACATGCCTCCTAAACTTAAAATATTAGTTGTCTTAGTGTGAATTTTTCCTTAGACTTTAATATTGACTACTGTAGTGTCAGTGAGAAATATTGTTTGACTTCCCTCCCCCAACCCCCACGAGAACGAAAGAATATGGTCAATATAATGGACTTTCGGGTGTATGAGTTGTCAGCTTGGTTGGGTTGAGAGATTGGGTAACGGGAGTAAGAAAAGAGGATTGTGGAGTAAGATGTGGGAAAGGGGTAAAAGGAAAGAACAGCAGCAGCTGGGAGTGCTGATTATCACACGTCTAGGGCCTGGCAGCACGTGACTTCAGGTCACTTGATGTGCATCTTCAAATATATGCGTAAATGATGTAAGTTTTCCATACTCAGTGTGCTTTTTTAAAAAGTTTTTTTAATGAAAAATTTTAATTAAGTTTTAAAACAATTACTTAGAAACTTATTTTCTTGGAGAGTTACATGTTATGGTAATGTAAGTGATAAAACAAAAATGTAATGATGTACATTCTTAATTTTCTTTGAAGATTTTCTTGGAGCAGAAGAAAATGTTAAAAAGTGGCCTCAACATAGCCCATTTTCGACAGCATGTTTCTATAATTGAAAAAGAAACAAAGGAATACTTTGAAAATTGGGGAGATAGTGGAGAAAAAAGTAAGTAGAGAAAAATTGTTTTGCATTTGTTTTAATATTTCCACTTTCTATTAATAGTGTGCATGTGTGTGTAATACGAACAGTAATTCTTATGAAATCACCTTAAATGTAATGAAAGGACCTGTTATAATTACAATGAAATTAAAGGAAAAAACACACAGAGGATTCAGTGACTAGTTCTGCAATTTAGCAAAACCATCAAGTAATAGCAACACAAATCATGATTAAATTTTGAAATAAGCTGAAGGTAAAAATTGGTACCAGATTACTTTGAGATAAATGGGGGGGAAAAAACCCAACAATACTTTTTTTACTTTCTTTTTTCCCCTTAAGATATATTTAAAAAAAAATTTTATCTTATATTGGTTTTCATACAAAATTTATGTACATTGTGTTTCACACCTACTGTTTTTACTTTCAATGAGCAAGTACAATTTAATGTTGCTTCCTGCTGTGGGTGTGGCAATTCGTTTTGAAGGCCACACTTTATGCAATTCATTATAAATTAGATTGCTAGTACAGCCTCAGGTATGTGGCTCTGTGGCCTAGCAATATAATCAGATTCATTTTTATCTTGTCAAGTTGATGAATGACTCCCTAGAGTATGATCTTTGTGGTGTCTGCCAGGTAGCAGTAGTGATGAGGTGCTTCCTATCATTTGGTTTGTTGTGCTATGTATATCTCTAGACTTTTTTTTAAAATTAATTTTGGTGAACGTTTACAGAGACTTAGGGTTTCCAGTCATTTATTGTTGCACTTTTCTCCCTGCCTACCCCTAGACTTTTTTTTTCCTTTTAGTGATATAAATAGGATGTTGTAGATTTAAGGTTTTGCCTCCATTTTCTTGCACAATGCCTTTACATTTCTAAGAAATACAGTGTCAGAATATGTTTATACTTATAAACAGAATTTGGTTTAGCACCACAACAAGATAAACAACCCAATTGCAAAATGGGCACAGGATATGAACAGACACCTCACCAAAGAAGATGTTCAGATGGTGATCAAACATATGAAGAAATGTTCCAAATCCCTAGCTCTAAGTGAGATGCACATCAGAACAACTGTCATCTCACCTAAGTAAGAATAGCAAAATTCAACAGAGCAGCAAACAACAAATGCTGGTGAGGTTGTGGAGAAACTGGGACCCTTGTCCACTTTTGGTGGTCATGTAAAATGGTACAACTACTCTGGAAGGTGGTATAATGCTTTCTCAAAAAGTTGGAAATAGAAATTCCATTTGACCCAGCAATTCCACTACCAGGAATATACCCTAAAGAGATCAGAACTGCTAGCTAAGTAGACACATGCATACCCATATTTATTGCTTCTTTGTTCACAATAGCAGAGAGTTAGAAACAACCCAAGTACCCATTTACAAGCAAATGGATAGAGAAGCTGTGATATATTCACACATTTGAATACTATGCAGCATTGAAAAATAAAGAACTCATGAAATATACAAAATGGATGACACTGGAGGACATTATGCTGAGTGAAATATCTCAGTCACAAAAGGACAAATACTGCATAAAGCCCCTGTTATAAAACAGGACTGACATGGAGGTTGGGAGGAAACTAAGAAAAGAGGGGATAAATAATGTAAATGGCATTGAAAAAGATGAGGGAGATGACTGCTTAAGCAGAATATATGATTAGGTATTATTTGCATGACAACAGTCCAGAATAAGAGCTGGGGGGAAATTGTATAACAATGAAAGAAATTTTTTTTTCCAAAGAGAAAAGCTAACTGGTGGGGGGAGGGCTGGGTAGGGAGGAAAATGTGTAACAATGAATGAATGAAATCCATGTTCTTGATAAACTTTCATTAAAATCTTAATTTAAAAAATTTAGTTTAGATGATGATGGGGATGTGTTATTCTTTCCTAGATTTGTTTGAAGCTCTTTCTGAGCTAATAATTTTGACAGCCAGCCATTGTTTACACGGAAAGGAAATCCGAAGTCAGCTCAACGAGAAGGTGGCCCAGCTGTACGCAGATTTAGATGGAGGTTTCAGTCACGCGGCCTGGCTGTTGCCTGGCTGGCTGCCCTTACCAAGTTTCAGGTAGGAGACTTTAAACAAGTCAAGCTGCTGTGCTCAGTTACCTATTTAACTTCATGTAATTATTGTTACTGTGCTTAGCTTAACAAATTTAAAAATAAGACTAGTAAGGAAGAAGATGGAAGGAATATACTAAGTCATTATATAGAAAGGAATTGACAGATACAGAGGAATTTAAAGAAATAACATATGAGCAAGAGCCTATGGTTATGAAGGAAGAAGTTCAAGCTGCTTTGAAGGAAACAGCAAAAAAATAAGGCCCCAGGAATAGATGGTATATCAATTGAAGTATTTCAGATAACAAATGTTGCCCTGGATGTGCTCACCAAGTTGTGCCAAGAAATCTGGAGAACAACCACTTGGCCAACTGACTGGAAGAGATCCATATTTGTTCCCATTCCAAAGAAAGGTGACCCAACTGAGTGTGGAAAGTACAGAACAGTGTCATTGATTTCACATGCAAGCAAGATTCTACTGAAGATTATCCAAAAACGATTAGAACAGCACATCAGCAGAGAACTGCCGGAAGTCCAGGCTGGGTTTAGAAGGGGTTGTGGTACTAGGGATATTGTTGCTGATGTTAGATGGATCTTGGCTGAAAGCGGAGAATACGAGAAGAATGTCTATCTGTGTTTCATTGATTATGCAAAGGCATTTGACTGTGTGGATCATAACAAACTGTGGCTGACTCTGAGAAGAATGGGAATCGCAGAACATTTAACTGTGCTAATGCGAAACCTATACTTGGACCAAGAGGCGGTAGTCAGAACAGAGCAGGGTAACACTGCATGGTTCAAAATTGGGAAGGGTGTACGCCAGGGATGCATCCTGTCTCCATACCTTTTCAACCTGTATGCAGAGCAGATTATCCAAGAGGCTGGGCTCTATGAGGAGAATTGTGGCATCAGGATTGGTGGAAGATCTATTAACAATCTGCGTTATGCAGATGACACAACCCTGCTTGCTGAAACTGAGGAGAACCTCATGCACTTGCTGCGAAGGATCAAGGACTGCAGCCTTCAGTATGGACTGAGGCTCAATGTCAAGAAGACAAAATTCTCGCCACTGGACCAATTGGCAGCGTCAGGATGGATGGCGAAGAGATTGAGAGTGTTCACAGCTGCAGTTTGCTCAGCTCCACAGTCAACACTCTTGGCACCAGCAGTCAGGAAATCAAAAAGCGTATCGCGATGGGAAAGTCAGCTGTTAGGGACCTCTCAAAGGTACTCAGGAGCAACAGTGTCTCTGGAGACTAAGGTGCGCCTGATACAGGCCATGGTCTTTGCAATCGCTTGTTATGCATCAGAGAGTTGGACAATGAATAGGGAGGACAGAAGGAGAGTGGATGCTTTTGAGCTGTGGTACTGGAGAAGGGTACTGAATGTACCATGGACTGCCAGGAAAACAAACAGATTCATCTTGGAGAGGATTAAACCAAGCTACTCCTTGGAGGCAAGGATTCTGGGGCTTCGTCTGACATACTTTGGACATGTTGCCAGGAGGGACGGGTCCTTGGAGAGGGGCATCATGCTTGGGAGGGTGGAGGGACAGTGCAGGAGGGGAAGACCCTCTATGAGATGGATTGATTCGGTGACTGGGGTAATCGGGATGGGTGTGTCAGAGGTGGTGTGGTTGGCGCAGGATAGAGCAGGGTTTAGGGCTGTTGTGCATAGGGTCGCTATGAGTCGGAAACGACTCGACGGCACATAACAACAACAACAAGGAAATTGGGATTATTTATGACTACCCTCCCATTAGAAGAAATCATTAAGGTAATTGCATCAATTAATGGTAATTTTTGCCTGTGAATGAGTGTCTGAAAAAAGAAATGAGATTTGTAAATTTTCACTCAAATAAAATCTATTTTAAAAAATTAAAAATATCATTGTAGGTTTTCTTTACATAACTAGCTCATTAGAGGTAAACTTCAGTTGAATGAAAAGGTGATTTGTTGTTTACCTGTTTCATAAAACCTACTTTTCTCACATATCCTTCGTCAAGCCTTGGACTTTATCTCGTAGTAGTTTAACTATCTTCTAGGCCATTTGTTTGAAAGAGTCAAGTATTGGTGCTTGTATTTCATTTTCTATTTGTGTCTTTTGTAACTGTACTGTACTTTCCTTAAGGGCAAGAACTATCTCTAATACAAAGTAGCATTGCTTATAGAATTTGACATATGGTTTACTGCCTTGCATATGGATGGGCTTCTTGTACCTCTAATTGATTTCATTTCTACATAGATAAGGGATGGAGAGAGAAGTTAAATCGATATTTCCTTTCTCTTCTGTTCTTCCACTTCTGTCTAGTTTATACATGAGAGTGTAGTGGGAGTGAAAGGAAGCCAATAGAGGTGCCATGGAATTATTTAGAATTCACAATTACATTTTTAAGGAAATTTGCAGTTTCCATACTGCATACATAATTATAATATCCAGCCTTGGATTTGGTCTAGAATGAGTAGGGTTGCTATGAGTTGTGGTTGATTTGATGGCACCTGATAACCATCACTACAACCTGGTTATTTACAAAATTAATTTGATGCTAAAACCTACTACTTCTTGTTCTTGTTATGTACTGTTGAGTCAGAACTGACTCATAGCTGACCCTCTAGTGGGTTTTCAAAGGCTGTAAATCAGACAGGAGTGGTTTGCTCATCTTTTGCAGAGCAGGTAGTGATTTGAACTGCCTGCCTCTGAGTTGGCAGTGAAACTCCCTTCCCACTGGACCGCCAGAGCTCCCCTAGAAATTATTGCTCATTTAAAGAAATTAATTTTCATATTTGAATTACAGACGCAGGGACAGAGCTCACCGAGAGATCAAGAATATTTTCTATAAGGCTATCCAGAAACGCAGACAATCTGAGGGAAAAGTTGATGACATTCTCCAAACTTTACTAGAGTCTACATACAAGTAAGAGCCATTCCATTCTAATACTAAGGAGAACAAGAAATTATGTTGTTAATACTAAGTAGAACAAGAAATTATGTTGTTAAAACACAGATAAAGAATATTCTCAGTTTAAAAATAAATTATACTGGCAAAACAAATTGGTATCTGCAACTCTTGGACTTTTTCAATGGAAGAGGCATACATTTCTGGAATTCTATTCCTTATTGGAATCCTAGTTTGCAAGTAAATTGGCTGTTGAAGTCTTCCTTATTGGAATCCTAGTTTGCAAGTAAACTGGCTGCTGAAGTCTTCTGTAATAATTGTTAGTTTTTTGTTAGTTTATCTCTATTCCTTAAGGAAAAAAGAATTCTGACTTCTAACAGACAAATGGGGACAAATTGTTATTTCTGAAAAATTTCAATCATTTTGACGCTTCCCCCTAAAGGTCTATATTTAATTGAATTTTCCCACTATTTCTTTGTTATACAGACTTGAAAAATTCTAGGTCACATTAATGGATTTGATAATTAGAGCCAATGAACTATTTCTGTCATATACTTTTAAAAATTTGAGTTGCTTTGGAGGCTCCAGAATTTGAACCTCTTTTTGAAAATCCAGACCTAGAATGTGTCTGCTAAAATGCTCTGTGCCTGTGTGTTTTCATCCTGTAGAAATGGGCGTCCTTTGACAGATGATGAAGTAGCAGGGATGCTGATTGGCTTGCTCTTGGCAGGACAGCATACATCCTCAACCACCAGTGCTTGGTTGGGCTTCTTTTTGGCTAGAGACAAAATGCTTCAAGACAAATGTTATTTAGAACAGAAAACAGTGTGTGGAGAGGATCTGCCTCCTTTAAATTATGACCAGGTTTGTGCAATTTTCATTTTCTTTGCTGCTTTATTACTTTGAATATCCATGGCTCTTATATACAAAGAGGAATTGGATGTTTTCTGTTTACATTAAATTCCTTAACTCCTGTCCTTGTAGAGAATTCTTCCCACTGTCCATGAAATGTCTCCGTTTATTTGTCCATTAAACTTTATTTGAATTTAGTGCCTTGGAGATATTTTGAAGTGTCTTCCTTGGTATTTTTTAAGTTAAGAAATAATCCCCCTACATTAGTAATCTTATCTTAAATAAGAAATAATTCCCAGAGGCACGGGGTTCAAATCCACCAGTTTCTCTGCTGAAGAAGCAGGGACAATCTCCTCCTGTACCAGTACCAGTCAGATCCGATTTGATGGTACACACACACACACACAAAAAAAGAAAGAAATAATGACAAGTATATACTAAAACTTTACTCCAATATGCCTCTATTGCCTGTTGCCTTTGTACTATTATTGTCATACAATCATTATTCATTAGAAGCCCTCTTGAGAATTTTGTTGTCACTCTTAGTTATCTGATAGCTTAGTCTATAGAGAGTTGTCCTATCAACCTGGAGGTCTTACCTGTGGTGGTTCAAAACCATCAGTAGCTCTGCAGGAGAAAGGTGGATGATCTCTTCCCAAGTGTTTTATAGCCTCAGAAACCCAGTGGAGAATCAGCTATGAGTCAGTTCATACTTGACAACAATGAATTTAGTTTTCAGTTAGTTATCTACTGCTGTTTTAAACAGAAATGCCACAAGTAGATAGCTTTCACAAGGAGAAATTTATTTTCATTGTTTCAGATCCTAAAAGTCTGAATTGAGGGTGCTTCCTCTAGTGGAAGGTAGAAGAATCTAACCTTTTAAATTATGATGTTGGTGAAGAGAAATGAAAAGAGAGTGAGCTATCAAAAGAACAAACATATCTGTCTTATAGGAAATGCAACCAGGATGCTCTTTGGCAACAAGGGTGTTCATCATCCTCATATATTTTGGTCATGTTGTTAGGAGGTGCCAGTGTTGAGAAAAAAAGGCATCATGCTGGGAAAAGTAGAGCGTCATTGCTGAAGAAGATCCTCAGCAGATGGATTGTTACAGCGATTACAATAGTAGATTGGAACATGGCTATGAGCTTGGCAGATTGTTGGAATGGTGCAGGAGACGGCAAAATTTCCGGCTGTTGTTTGTAGGGTTGCCATGAGTTATAGTCAACTCAATGGGGATACTACATCTCCTGAGCTATAGTCAGAGGTTAAGACTTAAAACATTTTAGCACATTACTTGAGAATACTAGCCTAGCCAAGTTAGACATATTGTTAGACATTTTGCTCTTGATTTAGTTCCAACTCATAGGCCATCAGGGGAGACTATTCCATCTTTTTATTTTGGGTGAATTTTTATATTCAAACACTAGAGAAGTGTGGTCTCTGGGTCAGCAGCACAACTCTATGGACTACACCATATTTGATCCATAACAACATACAACACCAAACGACTGAGAAAGTTGACATATAAAATTCACCATTACAGTTAGTCAGAGATGAGATAATTAGAATCTTCCTGGATCTCTTTTGAGTCCATACGTAGCCTTGTATGTGTATAATGCTTTCTAGATTTCAGTAATTTGTCAGAGTTTTAGGGGGACTTCTCATTCTCATTTTTCCCTTAATTTTTTTCCCCTCTGACTCTTATTAGTCCCATCTGATATTATTATCTTAGACAGCTGATATCTGAAACAGTTTTTGGTAATTGTTTTTGACAAAAGCTCAAGGATAAGCCCATGCTGAGAGAGCTCTGGGTCAGAACAAATAAAGACAAGCCCAGAGAATGGACTTTTCCAAGGAGCATCCAGATAAGTTTATATTGTGGCAGAGCTCTGCTTAGGGCATTTTGGAGTGCTCCAAGCCTGTCCTATCTCCATTAATTATTGCTAGGTTTGCGAGGTTGCTATAGAATTACAGAGGGAGATGAGAGTAGTGCATGCTACAGTGCCATAAAGCAGTTCTTATTAAATTCAGGTGTTTTCCTTGAATAAACTTTTCCACTGTTTGAAGCCTTGAAAGTTTACAAACAAAAAGTTTACAAACTGTTTATGACAGTTTTTGTTGGAAAGTAATTTTTGAGGAGCAGATTGTTGAAGGTCCTTATTGTGCGTACCACTTGAAAGATGATCTCTCTCCCTGTTATCTTCTCCATCCTTTGCCCTTTTTGACCAGAACTAACTTACGCATTGCTGTCAAGTTGGAACCAACTCATAGCAGACCCTCCATTGGTTTTCTGAGGCTGTAAATTGTATGGATGCAGATTTCCTCCCAAAGAGACAAGATAATTTTTGTCACTCTATCTAGTCTGGTTACTTCTGCATTTCACCAAGGACATATATAATCTTTTACTAACTAAATAATTGAAAGTACTTTTTATACTGTTGGGGTATATTAAATATTTGCAAAAAATCAGAATTCTTTCCCCTTCCTTTTTAGCTCAAGGATCTTAGTTTACTTGATCGTTGTATTAAGGAAACATTAAGACTTCGACCTCCTATAATGACCATGATGAGAATGGCCAAAACGCCCCAGGTGAGTCTCTGGGCTAAATGCCCTGTCTCTTTTTTTCTACTGAAGCTCAACATCAAGAAGATAAAGATTCTTACCACATGGCCAATTGGCAGCACTATTATAGATGGAGAAGAAATTGAGGTTGTTAGCAATTACAGCTTGCTCGGATCCACAGTGAAAACTTTTAATACCAGAAGTCAGAAAATTAAGACAAATTGCATTGGGAAAATCTGCTGTCATGAATCTCTCCAGAGTGCTGAAGAGCAACAGTGTCAGTCTAGATAGAAAGATATGCCTGATCCAGGCCATGGTTTTTTCCAATTACTTGTTATGCTTCAGAAAGTTGGACAATAACTAAGGATGCCAGAAGAATAGATGCCTTCGAGTTATGGTGCTGGAGAAGAGTCTTGAACATATCATGGACTGCCAAGAAAACAAATACATCTGTCTTGGAGAGGTTGAAACCAACTTTCACCTTGGAGGCTAGGATTTTGAAGCTCTGCCTCATTTACTTTGGGCACATCACCAGAATAGCTCAGTCCTTGGAGAAGGACATTGTGCTTGGAAGGGTGTACAGACAGCGCAGGAGAGGGAGATCCCTGATGAGATGGATTGATACAGTAACTGGGGAGATGGGAGTTGGTATGTCAGAGTGAATGAGACTGGCTCAGGACAGGGAAGGGTTCAGAGCTGCTGTACATAGAGTCACTGTGCATCTCAGGTGACTCAACCAATAACATTCTGTGACACGTTTGGAAGCAGGAATGGCATCCATTTCCTAAATAGCGTACTTCCAGAAACTCTATGAACTTTGATAAATGTTGATAGTTGCAGAGGGCCTTCAGGCCTTTTGTTCATAGGATTGCTATGAGTCATGCTCTATTTGAAGGCAATCAACAACAATTATATATATACACACACACACACACACACATATATCAATGATAATTATCACACTTCTGTAATTTTTATATTTACATATTCTAGAAATTTTATTTCATAATTTTATGTTAATATTATTTTTATTTAGGATTTTCACATGTGACTCTTATTTCTTTTGTTATTTTAAGTAAAGTAGTTGTAAAAATATGAAAAGTGCAGGAGTATATAAATTAAACCAGGCTTCCTGAAATGCTGCCCTTATCTCAAAGGCATTATGCTTGAGGAGCATCATGTATGGAATGCTCAGGGCTTTTGTGGCTTTATTTTCATCCTCAAGTGGGTGTCAGTGGATGGGACTTGCAGATGAATTGGGGGTCTCTGGCTCTTAGTCCACCAGCATTTGGGTGTGCTGGTATTTAAAAGTGCCATAGGGCCCTCAGGCATTTGGCCCTTGGGCCAAATGATAATTGATTTGGGAATCAATATTTTAAGTGGTACAGTAGTGATTTGTCTATTTGCCCTACTGAAGCAACTTAGAGTTGCTATGATGATGGAAAATTGCCATAGGTGTGTCAAACACCGTAATTGGCTACCCACATGGGCAGTGTTTGGTGGGGCTTCTAGATTGATTCAGGTTTGGAAGCAGGAGTGGCATCCACTTCCTAAACCACATGCCTCTTGGAAATCTATGAACTTGGAGAAATGATGATAGTTATAGAAAGGCTGTAGGTCTTTTGTTCATCTTTTGTTCATATTGGGCCCGAGGGCCTAGTGTTGTTCTTGTGGAGGAACATTCTAAGTTGTACAGCACTCTTCTGTCAATTTGCTGTACTGAGGTAATCTGGGTTTGCTGTGAAGCTGAACCTTGCATCATTGGGGGTCAAATGCCATAATGGCTGACCATGGTGGACAGTGTTTGGTGGAGTTCCCAGATTAAGACTGGTTTGGAAGCAGGAGTGGCATCCACTTCCTAAACCACATGCTGGCTTCAGGCTTTGGTTCATAGGGTTACTATGAGTCATGTTCAACTTGATGGCAGTCAACAGCAACAGCTTCCAGTCCAACATTGGGCAATTTAGGAGTAATACTGCATTAAAATATTATCTTGGCTAGCTTAGTCATTGAACTGGGAGCTCTCTGGTGGCTTTAGTGGTAAGAAATTGCATTGCCAAGGGAGCTCTGGTGGTTAGTTGTAAGAAGCTGCACTACAATCCCAGTGCTATGTAGTTCAAATCCACCTGTTGCTCTGCTGGAGAAGGAGAGACAATCTCCTCCTGTACCCGGATGGAGAAGGAGGGGCAATCCCCTCCTGTACCAGTCAGATCTGATTTGACATTATACACACAAAAAAGAATTTTTAAAACCAAAAACTAAAAAAAAAAAAAAAAGACATTACACTGCCAACCCAAAGGTTCAAATCCATGAGTGGCGGCATGGGAGAAAGATGAGTAATCTCTTCCTATGTAATTAACTGCCTCTGAAAACTTGATGGAAGGTCATCTATGGGTTGCTTCCAACTCATGGGTGCACAACAATCACTGAGCTAGATTTGACATATATGCATTTTATACATATTACTGCATGACACTGGTGTTACCTGGTAGATTATTTTTAAATTACCTAATGTGCTGCTTTCTTTTGTAGACTGTGGCAGGGTATACCATTCCTCCAGGTCATCAGGTGTGTGTGTCTCCTACTGTCAACCAAAGACTTAAGGACTCATGGGTAGAACGCTTGGACTTTAATCCTGATCGCTATTTACAGGACAACCCAGCATCAGGAGAGAAGTTTGCCTATGTGCCATTTGGAGCTGGTAAGAGACGACATTTTGATCTTAACTATCTAACATCAGTGATAAATTTGTTGCCGTGAAAAATAATCCATGTGATTTTTTTCATTTCTTTATTAGGGATATCCCTGGTATTTTGGGATCTTTGACTTTTGAAAGTTGTTTGTTGTTGTTGTTATGTGCCATCGAGTCGTTTGCGACTCATAGCGACCCTATGTACAACAGCCCTAAACCGTACTCTATCCTGTGCCAATCTCATTGCCTCTGACACACCCATCCCGATTACCCTCAGTCACTGAATCAATCCACCTCATAGAGGGCCTTCCCCTCCTGCGCTGTCCCTCTACTCTACCCAGCATGATGTCCCTCTCTAAAGACCTGTCTCTCCTTACAACATGTCCAAAGTATGTCAGACGAAGCCCCAGAATCCTTGCCTCTCCAAGGAGCAGCCTGGTTTAATCCTCTTTATGATGAATCTGTTTGTTTTCTTGGCAGTCCATGGTACATTCAATACTCTTCTCCAGCACCACAGCTCAAAGGCATCAATTCTCCTTCTATCCTCCCTAGTCATTGTCCAACTCTCTGATGCATAACAAGTGATTGCAAAAACCATGGCCTGTATCAAACAATGTTATAAAGGCAAAGTGGCTATGAAATTTAAACCTGAAAAAACAAGGCAAAGTAGATAGGAACAGCATTATATAAGGAATCTCAGTATGCCCTTTATTACAAATGAAATTTTTTTTTCCTTCTACTTTGCCTTGTTTTTTCAGGTCTAAATTTCATAGCCTCTTTCCCTTTATAACATTGTTTAAAGTTCTTACACTGTTTAAAGTTCTTAGTGGATTTGTTCTGAAGAAGTATAGAAAGCTATTCAGATGATTATTTCAAGCTGAAACAGCATTTTAAGAAAACCCAAAGGCATATTTTTAAAAATGTACTTTCTGGATCATTAGTCAACTTTATGCTTCCTTGTAAATAGCTTTATGAGAAAATACTCTTTAAATTTGGGTGCATTTGTTTAGACTTATGAACCTTTACAATTCTAGTAGATGCTGTTTTTCCAGTAGTATAACCATAGGTACCTACATTCAGCTACATTGTGACTGACTTAGTAATAGGTCATTCCAGTAGTAGATAGATTTGTGGTCCTATCTGTCCCCAAGTTATGAAGATGTTCATTTCCATTCTTCTAAAAAAACAAGGCTTAATAACATTTTACATTTATTCTATATTAAAATGTGGTGCTTTTCATGTTTATGTTGCAGTTTGTGATGCACCCTGAGCTATTTATTGTTGATTCAGTTTGTTATTAAAAATAATCTATTAGTCTTCTTATAAATATTACCTTCCAAGTTGCTTGTTTTAAAATATTGTTCGTAAATGCTCATCTAAAATGTGGATTCTTTAAGATCACACTAAATAAAAACACTTAGTATTTGGTAATAATGTATCTGATAAAGGACTTATATCTAAAATTTTTAGAATATTCCAACACCTCAACAAGAAAAAGGTAACTGTCCAATCACAAAATTGGGCACAGGATATGACAAACACTTAACCAAAGAGGATAGTCAGATCACACACAAACACATGAAGAAATGTTCAAAATCCCTAGCTATAGCAGAGATACAACAACTATGAGAAATCATCTCTTCCCAGCAACGATAGCAAAGTTCAATAGGGCAGCAAACAACAAGTGCTAATGAGGGTGTGGAGAGATTGGAACATAACACAACATAGGGGAGCCTTGAGGACATTATGCTAAGTGAAATAATCACAGTCACAGAAGGATAAATATTGTATAACATCGCTGTTAGAAAATAGGAGAGACATGAACGTTTGTTGGAGAGAGAATGGGGAAAGAGTGGATAGATCATGAACATCATCTGCATTAGAACAGATGAGGGGAAGAACTGATTATGTTTATATTAGGAATACATGATTATATTAGGAATACATGATTATGTATTAAATGTATGAGAACAGTCTGGAACAAGGGGTGCATTGTGAGGTAGGCTAGGGGAGGAAGGAGGAGGGATGAGGGGAAAACTGCAACAATGAATAAATTAACAGCAAAGCACTTTGGTAAACAATTTATGCTAATTTTTCCCATTTAACCCTCACAAGTAATTATCTTCATTTTTCGAGAAGGACGCTAAGGCTTACAGACATTAAGTTTTCTCACTTCCAGTTTGGCTTATTACATTCCTTTTAAAGCTTTCTTTAGTAGTTGAGCTGACTACTGTGCAATTTTGGGAGGTCCAAGAATTTGGAAGTTATCCATTCTAGTTGAAATACTTCTGACATCCTCTTGTATAAATCTTACCTTACTTTTAGATCATGTATATTTCCTTTTAAAATATACAAATTGTATTTTACATTATTATATTTCCTCCAATACTAATGAGGAAATATCCAGTTAGAATTTTGCCATGAGTACCATACAGACCCAGATTCTCCCGTTAACGTTTTACTGTACTTATGTGTTATTTGTCCATCCATCAATTAATTTTACTTTTAGATGCATTACGATTACAGGCATCAGTGAACTTTCTAAATACCTAGCTTGCATATAATTAACTGCTGCACTTTTAGGTCTCTTTTGAGCTAAAATTATGTACAATGTAATTCTCAAATCTTAAGTTGATATTTAGTGAGTTTTGACAAGTAAAAATACTTGGATAACTTCAATTGAGTCAAATTTATTGATATATTTTATTTATTTATTGCTTTCTGACCCTATCTTATCTGTAAGAAAATATTTTTTCTTCTCTTCAGTTAAAACTTAGGGTTTCTACATTTATATCTCTATGATTATCTTGAATTAATTTTTTACTTTAGTGTGAGGTGAGAACTGAGGTTATTTCTTTGTTAGATAGGTATTCTAACACCATGTGTTGAAAAGATTTTTTCCCTCCTAATAGGTATTCTAACACCATGTGTTGAAAAGATTTTTTTCCTCCTAGTGCCTTTATTGATGATAAAAAACCCAGATAAGCTCTCAAACTCATTGAGTTGAAATAAATTCATAACTGAGCCATCAGAGTATTTCTGAGGCTGTAAATCACATGAGAGATTGCCCATCTTTTGGCAGAGCTGCTGATAGATTGGAATTGCCTTTCGGTTAGCAGTGCCACTCCCTACACAACAGCATCAATGCTCCCTTTGCCAATATTCAAGTAACCGTAAATACTGAGGGCTCATGATTCCATTGATCTTTTTGTACAAAAGGTTATTATGAATTGGAGGCAACTGTAGCACCTTTAACATACTACAGTGTGTATGTTAGGTAGATGTGGCTTTATAATAGTATATCTTTTAAGCCTGCCAGTTGAAATGCACCCACTTTGTTCTCTTCCAGTTGAAATGTACCCACTTTGTTCTTTCCCAGAGTTCTTTGGCTATTCTGAGCCCTTGGTTTTTCTGTATGTTTTGTTGTTAAAAGCAGTTGTAAATTTTATAAGACCTTTAATAATTCTCAGTAGGCCATGCTCACACTTTGGATATTTGATATTCCATTTTCTTTCACCAGGTATCACTTTTAATAGCATTTCAAGTTTTGATTGGAATGTTCATACTGACTTTTAACCAGGGCCCTCTAGAGAGAGAGCTAAATAAGAATACTTCTAGTATATTCTTAAACTTGATTGCCATGCTCTGGTTTAAATTATCTAAGAACCCTTTTCCCCTCTCTTCTAAAAGTAGATAATGGAAATACCTAGTTATATTCCTGTTTCATATATGAATCACTCTAGCATTAAAGACATGAGAAGAATATAAAATAATTCCTATGAAAACTTTTTTGTTTCTTCCCACAGGGCGTCATCGTTGCATTGGGGAGAACTTTGCCTATGTTCAAATCAAGACAATTTGGTCCACTATGCTTCGTTTATATGAATTTGAACTCATTGATGGATATTTTCCCACTGTGAATTATACAACCATGATTCACACCCCTGAAAGACCAATTATTCGGTACAAACGAAGATCAAAATAAAAAAAAGGTGGCAAGAACTAATGTGTGAAACATCACTGTCAGCTGCAAAGCATTTGAAGATAATGAAGTTTACAATCCAACTCTTAGTGTACAATTTTTTGACTGTACTATTTGAAAATCATGATTTAAGATATTTACATTTCATCAACTGAATAAGTCCACCAGTTCTGGTGGTATTTCAAGTATTTTGTAATAGTTTCTGATGAGTACTTTTTACATGTAAAGGAGTAAAGAGTAGTGAGAAAGAACTACTGTCTATGGGACATCTAGGTATTTGGCATAATTTTAAGTAACCTAATTAAAACTTCTGGGTACCAATTATAAAAGCATAAATAATTTTTGGAAATTAAACACAAGACATTCCAATCTTTGATTAATCATTTAAGGTATAGAAAGCCCAGTGAAATACTTGGAAGCCTTGGCTTATTAATTTACGCACTACTTTGTATGTGTAGAGGGTAGGGAGGGTAGGGAGTTCCTATCAGTTCTAAAGCCCTTGTGAAGAGAGAATATTGGATATGATGATACTCAATGAGATTATACTGGAGAAGAGTACCATCTGAAATTATTGCTGGGAGTACCGTCAATAAGAAATGAGCTCCCCCCCCCAAAAAAGAAGTGAGCCCTCTCATTTCATGCTTATAACTTAGTATTTTCTAAATATATAAGTAAAATATGTGTGCATATAAATGTATATATAGAAGAGCGCTGGTGGTCTAGTAGTGAGAACTTATGATGCAGTTCCATAGAGAAGTGGTTTGAATCCACCAACTGCTTTGCAGAAGGACGGGCAATCTCCTGCGTGATTTACTGCCTCTGAAGACATGCTGGGGGTTTAGGTATGAGTTGGTTTCGCCTCAGTGGTATACAACACACACATATATAAATAATATTGTTAAAAAGTGCTCATTTAACTCTTATCTAATTATTAAATACTATGTCGGTACCTATCTGGTGGAAAACTTAACCTGGTTCCACAAGGTTGTCTGTGTAGAACTATAAAATAAAGTGTTCAGGGATAATCTTTTTCTCTGTAATTCAAGGCTATTTCCTGTTTCCTCCCTCAAGTCTAATTAGGAATGTTTCCATTTCTATCTGACACTGAATTGATTCTGCATTAGTAGGGTAAGGGTGAGTGACATTAAGCAGGGTCCTTGAATCCAGTCAACTTCTGTAAAGTCCGTGTGTAAGATTCAACTTCATTTACAACTTTGGGCAAACCAGATGCAATCCCAGTAACTTGATTTTACTAGATAAGGCCTAATTCCCTCGCCACCCCTTATGTTTATTAAGGATTAATTTATAGTCAAAAGGGCTGAAGGACTTTTAATGTGAAGGGGAAAAAAAATCACTGCTATTGGACAGGTTTCCATATTAAAGTTCTTTTGGGGAAAAAAAGGACACAAATAGAAAGTATGTGCTTCAGTGAGTGGAATACATGGACTCCTGAAACTTGCTGAGGGGGGGAAATATATGTACTTCTATATTTATACTAAAATATGCATATATACTTTTATTATCACTAATTTCTAAGTATAACTTAGTATTTCCTTTGACTGAAGGCAACAAACCATAATAGTATTAGCAGTATCTAAGATATGCAGCTACCTTGAAATCTGTTACTACCACTTTAAAACATTTTCTTTCACAATCCTACATATTTTATATAGTTTTAAACATTTTGAAAATTATCTACAAACTTACCAGACTATAAAGTAGTTCATGGTGTAATTTAAGAACCTGAGGTAAATGCTACTTTAGTTAATATAAGAATTCAAAGGATTTAGTTTTTAACAAATAAAAAAATGGGAGAGAAGCATGAAAACGTTTAAGGTTGTAGATGCCCAACCCCAGGAAACAAGTATGTGTGGTTGAGTGTACACTGTAAATGCTCTTTCAAATCACAATAAAAGTAAATACTAAAGGAAATGAGGAGGTCTCGCAGCAATCATACCCTCGAATATATAATGTAGAAGTAAATGTAGACTGCTCAGCTCACTCATCCTTGCTCCCTTCTCGCCTAAAGCAGACGAAGTCTTGAATGGTAAGACATTAGCTGTGGATTGCTTAGAATGCGTCTGCTATTTTAGACCTTCCCAGGATGGCATTTTTTTTTTTATCTTTTATTTTTTTTCTTGTATGTGTACTATCAAATCAGATCTGACTGGTACAGGAGGAGCTTGTCTTTCCTTCTCCAGCACAGCATTTGCGCACCTCTGGTGTTGCAGTGCAGCTTCTTGCCACTAGGCCACCAAAGCTCGCCAGGATGGCATTTTTTTTAAAAAATGTCAGCAATCAGGAGTCTCCAAGAATGTGTAATGTACTATCCTGACCTGCTTGTGAGGGTTTAAATCACATCAAATGACCAGATAAAATCCCTGACATAGAAATATTAGCTGCTGTCTTCCTTGCTATTTCAGGGAGTTGCTGTTTTTAGGGGAGAACTATATAGTTAAGTTTTGAGAGTCTAGAGAAGATATTGTATTAAAGTTTGTAATACGGTATCTGTGTGACATTCCCGATCTGAATTTGGTTTGGACAAACCAAAACTCTGTTGCTCTGTGGTTAATAATATTTAAGTCTCTATTAAAAAATATTTAAGTCTCTGTTAAAAAACCCCCAAAACAACCAACCAAGATTCTTTGAATTTAAGTGATTTCTGCATCTTAGTGGTCCATGGCTTAGTAATACTATCTGTGGAGATGAGAAACACACGTAACATAAGCAAGTTAGCTTTATGAAAACTTTAGATGTAAAGTTGATGAAAAGGAACGTGGAAAACTTGTCCAATGGAAGGAGGAGAAAAGGCTCAATAGCACCCAATTTCCAGACAAGACTCGATGATGGATAGAGATGAGGATGCTGCTGCAAAGCAGGGCAGGGATCAGACCTGTTCGTAAGGCTGCTGTGACCTGTTCGTAAGGCTGCTGTGACCTGTTCGTAAGGCTGCTGTGACCTGTTCGTAGGGCTGCTGTGACCTGTTCATAGGGCTGCTGTGACCTGTTCATAAGGCTGCTGTGACCTGTTCATAAGGCTGCTGTGACCTGTTCATAAGGCTGCTGTGACCTGTTCATAGGGCTGCTATCGATGGCACAAAGTCACGTAATGAGAGGTCAGGCACCAAGAATTATGGCTCAATTAAAAATGAAAAAGGCTCAGACACGGCGGTTAAAATGGTGAAGTAATTTTTATTTCAGTACTTGACAAAATACCCCATAAAATTCAAAACTTCTACCATTATACAAAAATAGGTCTCTACAAGTGACATTTTCTGTCTGTATCACCAGTAGCAAATATATTAGGCAGAAACATGTAACTTCAGTAGCCTTTTAAGAAAAGTGCAGGGCACTTCAAGCTACACATTCAGCAGTATCATAATGCGCAAAAGTTTAATCTTTTCACCCATCTGATAAATACACGTTTTATAACTTAATCGTTTAAATTAGCATTCCACAAATATACAGGTAATTTAATGATTATTGTGCATGAATACACACACAATGCTTTATATATACAAATTCCAGTTTTCCTGTGCTGGCAAGGGATTTGCGTACAATCATAAGCTGTGTTCCTATTGGTCCCAATGAATATTCACAATACAAAAGCACAAAAGAACCAGTGATTTACAAAAGGAAGTTCGTTTAAAATCTCTTAGATTGATGTTTTTGTTTAAAATCTCAATTGGTGATGTTTTCAAAGGATTATCTTCTCATGCCAGCATGAAACTGAGTAGTTGAACCTGTGACATAAAAAAAACCCCAGATATTTAAGGGATTTAAAATTAGATCCTTACTCAGACTGACTAAAATCAGTTAATGTCCATTTAAAAACAACTTTCTTGCCTTCGCCTTGCCCCAAAGTCTAATCTTCCTAAAATTTATTTTGATCTAATAACAGTCACTGTGTCGATTCCATAGCTAGCTCTGGTTGCCTAGTTCTATTGGGAGTTGTGCTTGCTAAACCCTAGTGCTTTGAATCCACCAGCAGCTCCAAGGAAGAAAGATGGGTAATCTCCTCCTGTGCAATTTACAGCCTCAGAAACCCAATGGAGGGTCAGCTATGAGGTAATGGCAATGAGTTCATCAGTTATGAGTTAATGGTGCCCTGTAAGGCTACACCACCTTTTGGTCAATTTGAGCTTCAAAATCTGAATTTTTAAAATTTTTTTTTTCATAATCTGAATTTTGTGTTATTTGTATATTAAAAAAAAACCCTATCCATAAACCAAATCACAACCCAAAACCCAACACGGGACTAAAAGTTAACTGGATGAATAGTTTGTTGAACGAAGAGACAAAATACTAACTTCAAATAACCTGCGATCAGCCTACAGTTTGTTTGACAAGTAGGAAAAAGGTCTTTAATAAAACAATTGCTTTAGAGTCATTTAAAAAATGACCCAATATTTGAATTGAAGGGAAGTGAGGGTTTTCTCATGACAACTGACCAAAGGTCAATTAAAATATCTTGAATGGGGTGGTGGTTGTTTCTGGGGGCTGTTGGTGCTTTGATCCTGCACAGCAGCCACTGAAGAGTACGGATAAGACAGTATTGAGTGTTTAAAGCATTTCTCTCTTTTCGTCTCCTTACTCCCTATTTGTAATGCCTTCCTGCTTTCTACCCTCTATGATCTAGGAGCATGCTATGTCTCAGATTTTGTAGCCTCTGAGGTCTTGAAATATTGGTGCTCTTTGTAGATTTTATCAATCTGCTGAATGAAGGAAGTAAGGAATCTTCTTTTTAGGATGTGGACAAGAGGCAATGATAAATGATATCTTAAACCCATAAATCAGTTTCATTGTTACACACCTTCAGCTAACCTCGTAATTCAAGAACGGAGTGCTCTAGCTCTCTGACTACCTGACTGTGTGGTCCCCAGTCGCCTCTGCAGTGCCTCAAGCCGTGTGATATAATCTGTCAGCGCTCTGTCAGGATCATAATTCTGAAGCTGAGAACATGCTAGGGAACCAGGGTTCAAATCTGCTGGGAGGCCCGGGTACCTACAGGATTGAAAAACATGTTCATGAAATCACATTACCCAAAATGGCGCAAGCATATTACCAATCTGCCACACTGCAGACCCCCAATGACAAGGCCCTTTGTACACCGCCTAAATGGTCAGTATCTTCCAGGATTTAAGTTTAGGATGCTTACTGTATAAATTCATTCAAAGAATCCACTAAGTAATGCAATATAATGCCTGTAACAATGTAGATGTTGAATGCACCTAAATGACAAATTCAGACATTTTTTCAGAACTGCTAGACCCTATCACTATCCGTGAATATTTTTCCCACAACACACTTTGTTATGCTAGCTAACTCTGTTTTTCATACCTTAGAAAGCTAGCTACAAATTCTGAAATTGTTGTTAGGTGTCTTCAAGTCTAGTATGACCCTATGTACAACCCTATGAATGCCCTAACCTGTGCATTGTAATATACTTGAGCCCACTGTTAAAGTCACTGTGTCAATGCACTTCGTGGAGGGTCTTCCTGCCTTCCCTTGACCTCCCACCTTTCCAAGCCTGATGTCCTTTTCCAAGTACTGGCCCTTTCTAATAATATGCCCAAGGATGTGAGATGACACATCATCATCCTTGCCTTTAAAGGAACACCTTGGCTGCACTTTCTCCACGACATACTTGTTTGTTCTTTTGGCAGGTCATGGGATATTCAGTACTCCAACACTATCACTCAAGGCATTGATTCTTTTGCCATCCTGTCCAACTCTCAGATGCACAGCAAGTAACTGAAAAAACCATGGCTTGGATTAGGTGCATCTTAGTCTTTAAACTGACAGAATTGCTCCTTAGTACTTTGGAGAGGTCCTTGACAACACATCTTCTGATTTTTGCCTGCTGGTACCAGATTGTGCCTACAAGCCAGATGAAGTAGTTGACAATTTCAATGTGTTCTGCATCTATCATGATGTTGCCTACTGGCCCAGTGATAAAGATTTTTGTTTTCTTGATGCTGAGCTGTAATTCATATTGAAGATTGTACTCTTTGATCTTCTGCAGCAAGCGTTTTAAATCCTCTTCACTTTCAGCAAGGTTGTATCATGTGCATAATGCAGGTTGTTGAGGCGTCTTCTCCCGATCCTGATGCTGCCCACATTCCTCTTCAAGAAGTCCACCTTCTTGAATGACTTGCTCTGGATACAGAGTGAACAAGCTTGGAGAAAGGATACATCCCTGATTCACAATTCAGAAACTAATTTTGACTAAATCTCAGATGATGCAATTTATATGTAACTAAATATATGGCTAGGTATCTCAATGAGAAGATGTCAAAGCTCCCACAAATGTTAGCTTTCTCTGTTAAACATTAATAGAGTTAACTATTTAGGCAAATTTTATCATATTCTTACCTATTTTGAAATGGTAAAGGAGACCGAGGATAGTCCAGATCAGATCTGGTACGGTATGTAGTGTGTCTTGGTTCTCCATAGAGCTCCAGCCCACCGGAAGAATGATAAAAGGGATCCGTCTTTTCAGCACCTAAATTAATCCAAAATGTACCTTGTAAAGAAAAAAACAAACAAACCATGCTCTTGAAAAAATTTCTACAAAACAGATAAAGGCACAAAAAGGGCTGTTATCCTACTATGTAACTGTACTAGGAGGCCTTGGGCAGTACAGTTAATGGACCTGGCTGCTCAACAAAAGGCTAGAGGTGCAAGCTCTGGTGGCCTAGTAGAAGCTGCACTGCAATCCCAGAGGTGCATGGTTGGAATCCATCAGATGTTCTGCTGGAGAAGGGGGACCAATCTCTGTGCCAGTCAGATCTGATTTGACAGTGCACACAAAAAAAGTAATAAAAAAAAGGCTAGAGGTTTTTGACCATCCAGAGGCATGCGGGGAAAAAAGGCCTGGCATCTCCTGACCAATCAGCACTGCAAACACCGTGGGGCTCACACAGCTCTACCCTGACAGAAGGGGCCCCCGATCACAACACAACAACACTAGTTCTTTTACACTAAACTTCCAAGGTCATTCTCAAAAAGCCCTGGGAACGCCTGGTTAAATGCCAGGCTGCTAATTGAAAAGCTGGTGGACTGAACCATGTGCAAACTGTCACCGTCTCATTCTGCAAAGAGGGTGGCCTGGGAAACCACGTAGGCTGTTCTACTCACTCTGCCCTGTAACGTCACAATGTAAGCTAGAATTGACTTGGTTTGGTTTTCACTATTTTTGCTAAGGGAAAGAAATGGTAATATAACCAAAAATTTGGCTTTCAAATATTAATTACCTTTGAGTGAGTCTAATTTAGAACTAGTCCTCAAAGAAAACTACTGGAATCTTTTCTTTTGGGAAAAAAAAAATCACTTGCTGTCTTTTAATACAACATAGAAATCAATGTAGTAACAATTTCAGCTATTATATAATTAATACTACAACATCAGAACGTGTATTTCTAAAGCCTGCTTACTGATGGCATTAAGTTTATTTCTCTTCTCTATGCTCCTCAGGTACTGGTTGGTTCTGTGCCAGTAGCTAATACCAATATCAATTCATAGCACAGTTCTGCTGTGTTTTGAACTCTCTGCTTCCTACCTCTTCATTATGCCTGAAATGTTTAAACCCTAATGTTCACTTTTTCACTCATAATTAAAGGATATACAGAGGAAGGAACTTTGACTTTTACCATTATTATGCAATCTGGTAGTAAATTCAGAAACCTATTAAACAATAATAAATCCTAAGGACTTCAAACAATAATTCCTCCACAGCAATCTTAGTCTGAACCAGAGCCTTAAATCGAATTGTAAGGAACCTGGGCTCTGTTATTAGTTTGCTGTCTCTCCTGGGAAATCTGGTGCAAATCACCCAGGTGATACAAGTCTCAACTTTGTCATCTATAAAGTACGAACAGTAGTAACTGTACTTGGATCATAAGCCTGGGAGCATACTTGTCAATACATGAAAAGAGCAAGGCTTAGAAAGGAGTGAGCCAAGTTCAGCCCCTATTATTTTCTTTCAAGCCGCAAAGACACTGGATTTGTCAGTTTTGAGGGAAGGACTCTGTCTTTGGAGCCTGGTTCTAGAACACGTTATTTGGAAAGGGTGTTATACATGCAGATTTCAGGGAATCCTAAGTGCAGGAAAAAGATGCTATTTTGACTTCACCTGGATTTAGTCCAAAGCCATCCCTGTTAATATTCACAGTACCAGATCCTGTGACTCGATGCCATCGTCGAACCAAAAATTTCATTCTAAAAGAGATCCCAAAAGAAAACTTCACAAACCAGTTTTAATACAGAGATGACACACGTGCCCCACAAAAATAAAGTCATATGTTGACATACAGAATTTTGATATCATCACTTGACTGCCTAATCTAAAGCTATACAGATGCTCCGCACTTGGAGAAAACCCCAGTGAACAGTGCTCTAAGATATTCTCATTCCCTAAGTGGCATGAGCATTTTCTTGTGTTGTCAGCATTAAGTTTTGTTTGTTGGAGTATGGGACAGAGCAAAAGCAGAGAGGAGAACAGGAGATGGGCAAAGAAGAAAGAGAAGTAATGAAAAGAGAAGAGAATAAGCAATCAGTGGCAGGTGGGTTGGGAAAAGTATGGAAAGACCCTTAAATTGTTAAGAGGGAGCTAACGGGAAACTGGAGACGGGTGAGGCTTATGAGCAGGGGTGAAAAACACTACTGTTTTCAAGTCAAACAGGAGTGGTTATAATACCAAAAGGGGATTTTTAAATTTCTAAAATGCTTCTCTAATATATTTTTATCAATGATATAAGTTTGGAACACATCACTTTTTATTGCTTTCTAAATAAATTATCACTCTACTCAAACAGTAAAAACAAAACAAAACAAACCAAGAAGAACAAATAGGAGTGGTAATATCAGAAGCACACTGCTGCCTGCCCTACCCTGGTCCAGGGAGCTTCCGGTGTACCAGTTCTGATTTCTTAGTATCAATCCATTTCAAGACACATTTTTAGGAAGGTCACCATACAACAAATATATTTAGAGGACAAGGAGAGAGTGTTAGAGGGAAAAGCCCGTGAAGAGCAGCTTCTACACCACTTGGATGGATCCTCTTAAAGTTCCTCTAATCAAATCTAGTGGCTAACTCTTGCAACTCTCATTTATTGTCTTCTAAGTTAAGTGCATATTGGTGCACTTAACTTTTCTTTCAGACCAGAAAGTAAACTCTAGGATCCTGTCTTATTTTCCATAACGCAACTCTCAATACTCATATTGAAAGGAAAGATGAGGAAGGAAGAACTGGAGCCAGAGATGCTAAGGTGGAGGCAAGAGTGATCTAAAATCACGAACCAAGTAAAACCTGAGGTCCTCTGAGACAGCTAGTGTGGCCAGACGGCCAGGCCACATGACACCCAGCGTACTGTCCTGGTGGTACCACCATGGAAGGGCTCTAGGACTTCTTCCTCAGTTTGCTCTCCCATAAAATCAGATTCTGGACTACGTGATCTCAAGGTGGCTCTCAGCTAAAAATTTCTGGTCATAGTCTGAAAGGAAAAAGTCATATGTATGACCATAAAATCCTTCTGAGACTAACTGGCTTCTATGGAAAATAAAAGGGATGAGAAAGGATTCAGAAGCCTTGGCCACAGACCAAGTCAGAGGACTGTGGTGGGCCAGGTACTCAGGATGTTTTTGTTTGTGGTTTGTTTGGTTTGTGCTTCTATTTCTACCACCTGTAGGAGTCAAGGGTTTTTACTTGGAATAAATTCTAGGTTGGAACTACTAGCAAGGGGGACAAAACCACCAGCGCCCAAAGGACGCTGGATGTGAATGCACTCAAGTCAAACACTTTCCAGGTCTCTGTCCCCAAAGTGCATTTGTTTAGTAAAGAAAATGAGTGTCTGCGAGCCTTTGAAAGATATTAAAAAAAACCCATTTCTCTTATCTTTTTTATTTTTATGAGCTAGTAAATGAACTTGTGGAGATTTCTTTTAAGAGGCAATCCGAACCATATGTGCCATTGTGTGCCTCTAACATTACCAGCTGCCTTCACCTCTTCACAGGATTTTTGAGGCACAGCATAAAGTATGACTGCTCCAAGGATGAACACTTAGATAAGCAAGCATGCTTTAGTGAAGACAGATGTCTTACAAAAAAGGACACAACAGGCAAGAAATAGGGAGAAGATAAAAAAACCTCATCTTTTTTTTTTTTTTAAAAACCCTCATTTTTCTAGAGATTCCATTAAAATACTTTTCTTTCAAGCACTTTACCTGGAAATAGCAATGGACACTCGGACAGCAGACCGGAACCTGGTAAAGCCCTTTGGACGGTTGGTAATCACCTCCAGCTCCGTGAAGGCTGGCTGCCCTCCCATCCGGGCAAGGAGCGCCAGGGTGGCATCTTCACATTCTTGGAACCCACCCAGTAACAGCAACAGGTATTTCTTCTGATAAATCAGAGCTTTCCGGAAACTTTCTGCCCTCAGGTATTTACCATAAATTCTCTAAACAAGGTAGAGACATAAAGATATTAAGTAGCAGTCATTCAAGCTACTCTCTCAGAATCCAAAAAAGTGGTGTCCGTTAGTAGCCCTGGCAAGGTAACCAGAAACGATGCAAAAAGATAAGGATTTTGGAAGAGCTCTTTTTAGGAAGTTTAGACACACAGTCCTATATTTTCCTACAATGACTTCTACTAACTACAACCTACAAATTCTTCCATTCACTTGAGGACTGTTTCAAAAAGAGTGAAAGAAACCACTTATGAAGGTTTTACAGATTAAATAGTTCTTGGTGAGGCCTGGAAATATAATGCGAGAGTAAATAACCTTGAACCTTTAGTTTGGCACTACTCACCATGCTCAACATTTCACCATAAGATAGCGGAAGGACTAAGAGTTTGTGTGAGTGCAGAGCAGTACTGCAGGGCTTCTCTACACTGATCCAAAACCAAATGTGAAGTTGTAAATGCATGTTTGGTAACACAAACAGCAACAGAGAGTAAAATGGCTGAGTGAAGTATAAAACAACAGAGGATGTGTGAAGTCTGTGTCAATTAAATCAACGACAAAAGGAAACATACATATTAGATTAGATCTGATTTAAAGAGCTCTGGTTGTTAAATGGGGTAAGTATTAAGGTGCAAAATGAAAGGTATGTGTTTGTTCTGTGAGAAAAAGAGAAAAGTAGTCTGCTCCTGTAAAGACTTGAAAGCCACATAAACCCTATAGGACAATTCTTTTCTGTGCTATAGGGTTGCTACGAGGTGAAAATGGTTCAATGGCAGTGCTTGGCAGCACGTAAGATCAGACTTATGACCCCTACATGTAGATGGGGCGATGCTCTGCTCCATAAGAAGTTGCACTACTAATTCAAACTGTGTCTCTTAGTCAGTTTGAATTCACAGCAGCAGTAACATCAAGTAAATGTATACAATAACACTAACGGTCCATTTCCAAGCAGGGGTTGCTCTTTCTTATCAAGTCCCTGGGAATGCACAGCACAGTCTGATGTATGGGGTTGAGAGCCAAACTAAGCACAACACCCGCTGCCACTGAGGTGGAGCTGACGCATGGTGACCCTCCAGCATTTTCTGGAGGCTGTGAGTCCTATGGGGAGGAGAATGCCCGTCTGTCTCCCTCTATGCAGCTGGCAGATTTAAAGTGCTGAACTTTCAGTTAGCAGTCCACTATGCCACCAAGTGTCCTTGGAAAAAGGCTACCAGAGTTCACACCGTGGTACTGTCTCTTATCAGCTGAATGAGAAATTAGCAAACTCCTTGTACTTCACGGAACATATTTTGGAGGTGGAATGGGGTGGTCTTTGGTGATACACTGCATGTAGAGGTTAAGAGAAAAATTCTCTCTTCAGTTTTTTAACTGGATGGAGTAGGAATTTGGAGGAAGAACAACATGATTTAGGGTAAGATTGAGAGTTCGGTTTTAAATATGCTGTTTGGGATGCCTAGTTGCGGAAAGCAAAGAGGCAGTGGTATCCTAATCTGGCATGTGTAAAATAGGTCAAGACTGAAGTGAAAACATTTTAGGAAACTTTGCTATATGAATGATATCAAACACTGCAAGAATAAATACATTCTCAAAAGCAAACAGAGAATATCCTCCGGGGAAGAGCCTACAGAATGTCAACATGAAGAAGCTGGGCAGAGTTGCTGTTGTTGTTAGGTGCTGTCGAGTTTCGTAGAACCCATAGCGACCTTATGAACAAGAGATCTGAACCCTGTCTTACTCTGCGCCATTTTCACAACTCCTGGCACGCTAGAGCACACTGAGGCAGTCAATGTGCCAATCCACTGAAGATCTTGCACTTTTTTTGCTGACTCTGCTTTTCCATGCTGCCTGTCCCTCTCCAAGGAATAGAGGAATAGCTCCTCCCCACATGCCCAAAGTATGACAGTTAAAGTTTATCATCTTTGGCTCCAAAGAGCACTTTGGCTGCAACCTCTCCAAGACATATTTGTCTTTTGTCCATCCATGGGATATTCAGTGCTCTTCTCCAACACCACAGCTCAAAGGCATCAACTCTTCTTCTGTCATCTCTATTCACTGTCCAGCTCTTACATGCTTAGCAAATGATTGGAAAGACCATGGCCTGAATCAGGGGCACCTTAGTCTTCAAACTGACATGACTGCTCAATAATTTGGAGAGGTCCCTAACTGCAAACTTACCCAGTCCAATATGTCTCCTGATTTCCTGAGTGCTGTTACCAAGGGTGTTAACCAATGTTAATGGGAAAACATGCCAAGTACCCAAGGTGTGGTGGCTGGAACATTAAGAGAGTTTAATCAGGTCTCAGTCTGGATCTGACTTTTCCATAATTGTTTTGTGACCAGCTAGAAATTGCACTCATGTCACTGGCTAAGGAAGGACATTTATCAGCAAAGCCTGAGCACTATTCAAATTTCCAGAGTCTGCTCAGTCAAGGTCAATGGGATATGAAACAAGACTAATGCAGAGAACCAGATGTGATGCACGTTTAGATGGAAGACATTTCCTACCTTTAAAGTGGCATGCTCCGACTCAGGGCTCAGATTCTGAAGTAAAGCTTCATTTCTCAGTTCAGCTTTCAGTTTGTAGATTTCAGCGTCTGCTCTTTTTAAGGATTTCTGAAGAGCCATCTTTTCTCTGTTCCAGATTTCTTTTTCAGAAGCAATAATGGTATCAATGTTGGCACCAACACCAAGTGGGAACCCAGAAGCCTGCAGAGACCAGATGAGAGTGTTACTTGCATGGTTTTTAAGAATGATTCTTTGAAAAGTAAGAGTCTAAATTAAACATATTAAAGATATTTCAATATGTGAGAGAAATCTCAGCTTTTTCACCTTAGGGAAAGCAAAAACATCAGTATCAGGACATTAAAGAGTAAGCATATAAATAGTCCTTTGCCAAGCAGATTAGATTTATTGTAATTAAACATTGTATTAAGCCTGGCCCCAGTGAAAGTATTCAGATATAGTAGAATATTGAATAAAAACAAGAGATTTGTTAGTTAGACCATCAGGGTCAAAATACTGAGCTTGTGCCTGAAGGAGACAGAAAATGGAGAAAAGTCAACCACCAAAGAATGTGCATGTGTATGTGGATGACAACAGAAGCTCAATTTGACAGGAAAGTGGTCTTACTGATCTGTTTTATCTTTATACTGGTGCTTACAGAAGCTACCAACTAACTTTAGAGTTTTTTCCAAATGAATTTTTTAAAAAACTAAATTAATTGCGTTTATTAGAACAGAAAGACATAATTTAATGCCATTTTTACCATGATAAATAAACAGCAAGTCAAGATTCAAATTCAGACATGAAAAGATTTATAATGCTGAACATAAAACAATTCATGAGTCTGCTGCCAGTTCAAGCTCTTGGTTTGAGAGATACATGAACTTGGTCTGACTATGGACTTAAGTTCAGCTCTTTCTAGCACTAAGCTGGGTGTGGATTAGAGATTTTATATGGGTATAACCAGAATCTGATACAGAGGAGGCTTCCGATAAGTTACCGTTGATTTTATTATGGTCTTCTCTATAAAAAAAATTTCACAGATCTTACTAAGAATCACATGGTATTTTATACAACTAGAGTTAAAAATTAAAATGATAGCGAGAATTGTAACCTTGAGGACTAACATTAAGGATGAAGTTGTGCCCTGGTGTTTTTAATGGCTTCACAGGTTTGTGAAAATTGGACAATGAATAAGGAAGACCAAAAAGGAACTGTTCTTTTGAATTGTGTTGTTGGAGAAGAACACTGAGTATATTATGGACTGTCAACAGAACCAACAAATGCATCTTAGAGAAGGATGGTAAGACTTTGTTTCACATACTTTGGGCATGTTAACAAGAGGGGCTAGTCCCTGGAAAAAGACGTCACTAGTGGAAGTCATACAGTGATGGACTGAAACAGTGATTTGAACAATGGGCTGAAACCCAGCAGAGACTGTGAAGATGACACAGCAGCAGACAAGGTTTTGATGTGCTGTGCACGAGTCAGAGGCAACTGGGTGGTACATTAACAGCAAGAGCATGGAATGCCAAAAGAACAAACAAATGTGTCGTGGAGTAAGGGCAGCCAGACAGCCACTCAGAATCAAGAATGGGGGGACCGCATGTCATGTATTTGGGGGATGTTATTAGAGGGGCCGATCCCTGGAAGAAGATATCATACTCGATCAAGTGGAGGATATCACGCTTGCTAAAATGGAGGATCACTGAAAACGAGGAAGACGTGGCACCACAGAGCTCAAGGCTGGACTGCGAGGTTGTGAGGCTGGTGCGGAGAGGGCGGCTGTGTCCTGCTGTACATCGGTCACTATGAGTTAGAGCCGACTCCACGGCACCTAACGATAGCAAAAACACTTGGAATATGTGGATATGCCAAAAACAGACGTACACAGTCTCTACCAGCTCCTGTCTGCCGATACCACTTGATCTGCTCTTCTAGCTTCATAATCATGTTCCTTAAATCATTCTTTTCTTCAGTCAGCTGGCTGATATGTCCTGTCAGCTGAGCATTTTGTCTCAGTAGTCTTTCAGTCAAGGAGCCACAGGTGGTATTTGGGGAGACTAAGCTAGGCTAGAAAAACAAAAACAGAAACAAAATGGAGTAAGGTCACAGAAACAGAAATGTTTATGAGTGATGTATATAAAATAGGGGCAGGCAATGAGAACACACAATTTCATGAAAGAGGTAACACTTGACTTTAGTCTTAATAAATAAATAGGAATTTACTAGGCAGAAAAGAAGATAAAGAAAAGCCTATTAAGCCAAAGGAGCTATATATATATATATATATATATATATATAGAGAGAGAGAGAGAGAGAGAGAGAGAGGAAGCGCACAAGCACAGAATGCGATTATGAAAGAGCGCAAAGACTTGACAGAGAGTGGGTTACTTTTAGAGAGAACAGCAAGTTATTTGGTAAGGCCAGAGTTACGCTATTTTCAGTGAAATGCCTTTGCATAGTCAGTAAGACACAGATAAGACATTCTTCGAGTATTCTTTGCTTTCAGGCAGGATCCATCGGACATCAGGCAACAGGGAGCCAGGAAGAGCTTTAGGCAAGAGCATACGACAAAGAAATGTACATGTTAAATTACTCTGTCAGCAGTGTATAATATACAGTGAATTAGGAAGGACAGATCTTGATGCTGGGGAAACACATCAGGAGGTTGTTGCAACTGTCCAGATGAGATATGCTGAATGAAGAGTAAGGCTGTAGAATAAGGGGGGACGTGACACATATTTAATAGGCAGAGAGCACAGGACTTAGTGACTGCCTGGATGTGTGTGCAAGGGCAAAAGGAAGGCAGCCTCTCTCAGCTTCTAGTTTTCTAAACTAGGATATACTATGGCCATGCTAAGGGCTACAGACAAGTGGGCACAGGCTGGAAGGAAAGAGAGAAGATGATGTGCCATTTTGAACATGCTGATGAGGTCCCTTTAGGGTCTCTGTGGCATAGTTTTCTCCAGGCGAAGATGCCAGTAACTAACAAACTATAAGCCTGACTAGACATCAGGAGGAAAGTCTAGACAAGAAAGAAACAAAGCCTTACTTGAAGGTAAGCTCCACTCGGTGAGTTTTTAAAAACTTAGTGTTGTTCAATGTATCTCCAGAATCTAGTATATTATGTGGCACATAGTAGGGCACTGAATATATGTCCTTTTCCAAGAAATAAGCCTACTAAAAGCTTAGGCTACAGCGATGGGTAAGTTTTCCTAGAGTTAAAGCTAAACGAGCACAGGAGGGAAAGAAATGTATCAAGTGACTGAGGAAAGAAGTGATGTGAGAGACTGTGGGCACAAAGACCAAGAAGACAGATAGAGGGTTTTAAGAAGAAGGAAAGGTAGTAAGTGCCCAACACTAGAGAGGTCAGGACAGACAAAGACTGAAAAGGGCCCCCAGATTAACCAGCTGTGAAGACACTTGGTAGCATTCCGAACACAGCTTTTGTGGACTGGACTGTAGAGGGTTGGGAAGCAGGCAGGTCAGCAATGGGTACAAACTACTCTTTGAAGAATCTTGGTCTCTTAATACAAGAAAAGATGAATGTGATTATGCAGCAACAATAATGGAAGCCAATCCTTGCCATCTATCATTTACTATCTTATACAGGGAAAGAGGAAATGTTTGTATTAATATTTAAAATAAATAAAAAAATAAAGCACTTTAGAAAATATGCTGCCAGATTTAAGTAGTCCAAATAATTTCTGTTAAACCTTTGCTTTCAATGCTTTGGAAAGAGCTTAAAAAACTTACCTCTTCAACTAGTTGGTCGATTAGTTTTTGCAGTTGTAGAATAATTCCCTCAACAGTTCCCTGAATCCACATGAAATCTTCATCATCTGGTGTTTCAAACTGTAGTCTTAAAGAAAAAAGATAAAGCTAAAATACCTTCTCAATTTGGAATGTTCAGTAGCACAAAAATTACAGGTTATTATTTATTATACTTCTCTCTCGCTTGGGTCAAGGCTTTAAGATATTTGTTTTTAAGTATACAAGTTTCGCTAACAAGTATTATTTCCTAGTGTAAACACTCACTCATAATTGAAAAAACCCGACTCCTCATGTACTAACATAACAAGGGGTAGTTACAGATTCTGTTCAATCTGTTTAAGGGGGCCACTTTCTAACCTATTAGCAGCTTTCTGAGCTAGACGCTGTAGCTTTGAAGATGTACACTGAAGCTTCTGTTGTATCATTTCTAGTTCACGATTGCAGCCAAGTCCTCCTCCATCCATTTCAATCAGTTTTGGATAGGGTGATTCCGTCGTCTCTCCTTCTATTTTCTGCTGAAGAACCCAATTTCTAGTTCGATCACTGGTTAAACTCCATGTAGCTGGCTGGCAATTTTGGACAGAAAAGGCAAAAGCAAAAAATAGATATAAACAGCATATCATACATCCTTTCTTACAGAGATACAATTATTGTCCATATTCCAAATTAAGTTCTACAGATTTAACTGCAAAATAATTTTGTTTAAGCCATTTAACGAATTTAATCTAACATAAAAATGACTTTTTATTGTTGTTATGTGTTGTATAGCTGACCCTCCGGTGGGTTTTCAGAGGATGTAAATCACGTCTGGAGAGACTTGCTCATCTTTCTCCCAAGGAGCAGCTGGTGTACCACCTATCTTTGGGTTTGTGGCAAAACTCTTTACCCACCAGGCCAGCAGAGCTCCCTATTCCCTTTAGGAACATAAAAAGGAAAAGTATAATATACCTCATTAAGATTCTGATATAAAATTCTCCTACTTTCCCGTTTTTCTTCTCGTTCTAGCTCTTGCTTCTGGAATTCCTGCATAATTCCTTGCAGTCTCTTTCCTTCAAGGTCTAACTTATAAACTTGTTGCCTTTTCTCCTCCAGCTGCCGCTGAAGATCTTCCACTTTGGACTGGAGCTCACGCATTTTTTTCTGTCCCTCAGTGTTGGCCTCTTGTTCCGTCTGTAAAGTCTTTCTATGGACTTGCCTGTCCTTTTCCATCTGCTGCCGTGTTTGCAAAGAATCCAGCCTGTATTTCTCAGTTTCATTTAACAACTCCACTATGCGACTGTGTTTTTCCTCTAGCTGTTTCTGTAGGTCTTTAAGGAGGTCCTCAGAGGGCATGGCTGGCCGAGGCTGCCCGCTTTCATCATTGTTCTGGAGCTGTGCATGCAATTCTCGTTCTCTATCCAAGGTACTTCTCATTTCTCCAGTTAGAACTTTCTCAGACTCAAGAAGTACCTGAAGCTGTAAGTTTCGATTCTGTTCTTCTGATAACTGGGAGTCATACAACACTTTCTGAGACTCCATTTTCTGCTGTGACTCATTTAGCAGTTGTTTCTGTTGTTCCAAAAGTAGATTTAGCTGAATATTCTTCTGTTTCTGACCCTCAAGTGAGAATTTTAGATCCTTGTAAGAGAAAAACAAAACTTAGGAGCCTGCTTACTTGATAAAAATAGTGATAAAGATACAACCATGCTTTCATTACTATTAAATATGATAAGGATACAACCTTGCTTTTATTACTATTACATTTTTAATATTTGGTAAGAGAATGTAGAATCAACTATCCAGTTTATCAAGCTAAATTTCCAGTGGTTAAAGCATAATTATTTATACAGTTAAGGCACCAATTTTCATTAAGGAATACATGCAAAAGATGAATAATCTAATGAATACATTCTCCTTACTAATCTATTATCAGTAAGAATAATCGTTATTCTTATATAATAATATAAGACTTGATGGCACCTAACAACAATTCTTATAGAATAATTCTTGATAACAATAAAAACTATATTAATCTTATGCCTGGCTGAAAAATATGAAGCAGTGTGCATATACTTGAAGAATAATTTTTAAAAGTATGTGTGTTTCTAACTAATCATATGAATTTCTGAAAAATTTGGTGCTTTGCCCTAACATGTGCTAAAAGAAATAGTGAAAATATGGTGAAAACAGAGCTAGGGACAAATGACTTAAAACTTACATAAATTTAAATGGAAACCCAAGTTTTCTGTAAACTTTCATTAAAATACCAATTAAAAAAGTAATAATAAAGGGGAAAAAAACCCCTTATGCAAATTCGTAGTAACAGAAATTCATACCTTGGATAAATTTTCCTAACAGATGATGCCTGGAAGCTATTAGAAAGGATCCTTTTTCTCCCCTTACAAGTTAGTTGTTACGTATCATTGAGTTAAAGCTGCCTCACAGCTGACCCTCTAGTGGGTTTTTAGAGGCAGTAAAGTGCATGGTAGGAGACTCTTTGTCCATCTTTCCCTGGTGGAACAGCTGGTGGATATGAAGTGTGAGCATGTGGGCTGGCAGTGCAACTCCTTACTGGAAACCACCAGAGCTCCCGGAGTAGGGCAGAAATGTTGGGGACTTTTTTTCTAAAGCGGGAGGATGTGAAAGAAGTAAAGCAGTCAGTGTGCGGCACCACTCACACAGGCATGGTCATAGCCCAACTGAAGTTGACAAGATGCAGGAATACCATGTGACTCTGTGACAGTGTCTGGAGTCACTTAAATAGAGCAACAAAGGCTCTGGCTTCCAGAAATGTCCCTGCTGAGTGAGGAGAGCGCTGAGGAATTCTACTCCTATTTCAGCTTCTTTGACTGAGAGAGAACAATTACAGAAACCAGTGCTACTTCTGTATTAAACTGACAGAATAATTTCTCTATTTTATCTATCATGTGTACTACCACCACCACTATTAATTTGTATCATCAAATTATATGAAGTGGCAAGAAAAGTCTGTTGCATCCTCACCTGTAGTAAACAAAAAAGCTGGCAAACCAGTAGCATTTCCTTATATATTAAATTACATTTACAATAGTATTTAGTACATACTGATAAACACTGTCCTTCATAAAAAAAGTTCAAGGTTGAAATTTTAGAAAAATTAACAACTTAAGACTCTTTTATATTTCCCAGCGTCATTTAAAGACAAAAATGAAAATACCTCGAGTTCTTCTTTATCCCGTTCTTCACTGCGGCCCAGTTTGGCTTTCTCTTTCTCCAGAGCCCACTGGAGCTCTCTTGATTTCTTCTGTTCACCTGCTAATGTATCATTAAGCAAATGCACTTCATCGGTTTTTTCTTTAACTTCCAACCTAAATCAGAGACACAAATGAACTTTCATTAAGCTGTTTTGACCATGTACAGATGAAGAGGAAAAGAAAAATCTCAGCTGCCATTGTAAAAGTACCCACTGTTAAATGTGATTTATGTCAGATATTTTGAAAATAATATTAGTTATTATTTACCAACACAAACAAAACATCAATAAAAATGGGGGAAAAAATTCCCCTCTTGCCTTTTTTTTAAAAAAAATAATTGTGAAAACCATGTATGGAGATACAAGGGGTTGCAGGAGAGTGAGGATGGGCAGGGATGAAATCACAGGGTTGCACAATTTGGTGGGTGTGGGAAGTAGGTGAAGAAATGAGAAAGATCCAGCGGGGACCAGCAGAGATAGGGTAATGGTAAGCATAGTCCAAAGGTGATTAATTTTTTTTTTAAACAAAGAAATTGTCTTATTCACTTGTGGGTTTCTAATTTGGGAGTGGGGTGCAGACTCTCTGGATTCTTCATACAGAACAGGGACGTTGATGTGAAGAGGGGAGGGGAGCCCACTTTAATACACTACTGGTGGTCCTAGGTTGAAGCTGCATTTCCCCCCCTTGCTTTTTAACAACCATGGGAATGTATGTTTTCATGTAAGAAATTACTGTTCAAATTAAACAATAACTGTCCTTGGAATGTGTCTTTGCCAAGCTGACACAAGGAGTATTAAAATCTATACATTTACCCTTTTAAAAATAGTTACCTAAATCATTAATCTCATCAAGCTCATAAGTATCACCTTAAATTAATTGGTGATGAAAGGTCAAAACTGTGTAACTTTACATTAATAAACTCAAGTAGAACTCAGACTACAGTAGAGAGGAAGTAAATTCTTGTTATTACATTAAACAACTTTTTTCTCTCCACAGATTTTTCTATAGTCTCATTATTATAAAAATATATTATTATAATATCTGCAATGTTTATGACAGAAGTCCTCCAATTCCTCTACTGATACTTGTATTAGTGGCTTATAGGAAGGTACCCTGACGTACCGGAATGCCTCTAATTCCTTCAGGTGTTTATGTTGTGCCTTGAGTGTTGTTTCAAGTTCCAGTTTAGTCTGTGCAAGTTCACTCTTTAGTTCAGCCACCACCATCTTCTCAGAACTCAGTTGCTCCTGCAGTTCTGTTGCTCTGTCTTTCACACTGCTGAGTTCCACTTGCATTTCCAGCATCTGAGACTGCTTCTGTTGCATATTGTATTCCAGAAGTTCTAAATTAAATATTCATATTTAAAATATGAATCCAGTTTGTAAGTATTTTTAATAAGAACTTACTTATAACTCAGTATATTATTGCAAAGCAAATATGAAAATATTATAGCAAAAAACTATTACATGAACATAACTTTATGCATATTCTTGAAGATTTAACAATTATAAATATATAAGGACATCAAAAGTTTAACAGACTATATGCTTATGTTCATAGCAGCATTATTTACAACAGTTTAAGAGAATGGAAATAGCCCAAGTGTTCACCAACACAAATGACCTGAGAAATTGCAGTACATTCACACAATGGACTACTTATTATGTAGCACCAAAGAACAACAATTTCTTAGTTGTAAGAAGTGGCACTGCAGTCTCAATGGCACACGGTTTGAATTCACCAGCTGCTCTGGGGGAGAAGTATGGGCACTTTCTTCCTGCGCAACTGACAGCCCACCAGCGGGTCAGCTCTGAGCTGGTTCTGACTTGGTAGCACACAGCAGCAGCAACAACTACTACTGTGAGGACAGTGCAGGATGTGGCAGTGTTTTGTTCTGTTGTACATGGGGTGCACTATGAGTTGGAGCCACTCAAAAATACCAGCTACAACTGTAATGAGAAGAGAATACTTCAACAAAAATAATTCTGCCAGAATAGAAATCCTATATGCGGTAAAACCCAGAAATAATACTGTCTTTGAAGATAATTAATCATGTTAATTTATGCTTCTAATGTCATTTTCTAGGGGACATGGACCACAATTTTAAATTTATACATGGGATGCTAAGTTTTGTTGCTCCATTGTAGGGAACTGTGCTCTCTGTCAATGCAAAGACATGTGGTTCAAATCCGCTAACTGCTCTGCAGGAGAAAAATGGGCAATCTCCTTAGTGATTTACTTGCCTCTAAAAACCTACTGAAGGGTCAGTTCTGACATGAAACAAGTTAAATAAAACAGTATTAGTTAATGATCCTCAAATAAACTTTTAATCTATGTGTAAACAAAATAATTTCTATAAACCTGCTTTTCTCAAAAAAACCCTTTAATTCTCTCTAGCATTGCAAATGGTGAGTGTAAATTAGACAAATATTAAAACACTAATTTCTCCATTAGGCTGGATGAAAATCCGATTTCCCTTTAATTGCTAACAATTTCTCTGTAGCTCAACTGAACCAGACATTCTCCTTAGAGTGCAAAGGAGCTGAGTAAGCATATCACAGAAGCCAAATTCTAATAAGCCAGTCATCTGCAGAAATATAAATTACTTTAACAAGTAGAAAAACAGAAATTAAAACAACAATAAGAATTCATGCACACCTACAAACATCTACTAGGCTGCAAAAAAAAAGAAAACATTCAAAAATACCAAAAACTAGCAGAGAAGTGAAACAACATTAAGTGTAAACACAGATAGAACTACTCTGGAACCAAGTTTAGCATTATCTAATAAACTGGATGATACACATGCATAATCTAGTAATCCTATCTCTAAAGGCCCAGAAAATGCATGTGCATATGCATCTGGAATGCCTGGAAAATAAAGCCCAAAAGAGTAATGATTGTAGTGTCTAAAAAGCAAGAATAATACAAATGTTTATTGTGACCACAGAATGGACACACTAACTGTGGAATATCCATACAAGAGTATTCTATACAGTAACAACTGAATGGATTAATAGGTAAATGCAGTAACGTAGATGAATGTCATAAAGTTTATGGGGCGGAAAAAGGAACTAAAAATGTATACAGATTAATAAAGTTCAAAACCAGGAAACCATACAGTTAATGCGGTGTTTGCCTAAAAGTTGGCTTTTTTAGCTGTTAGTCCCCTTTGGTCTCCAGTTACCTTAACTACAGACACATGGTCTTTCAAATCATGAACAGGTTTGGCACTAGGATAAGAGAAAGTGTGTTTACACACACGGGGTAGCAAGACTTGAGGCAATCAAGATGCGGGGCAGCAAGACTTGAGGGAGAATGGAGCAGACCCTGTTGGCGAGACCCTAGTGATGGTGTTGGAGAGACTGTGGCATTGCTGTGGAAAAACTGTGGCAAGGTGTAAACAGAGGAGCCCTGATATAAAGGCCACAGTTAAAGGTGTTTGTGGTTCTTGCCGGATGCTTGAAGAAGTTCAATTATAATTTGCTGCATGACTGAGGAAACCAGAGGCATGTTTGTGCTGCCGAACAGAACCTGGACTTTCTTCACGTTACCTGAGAAGCTGTCTTGAACTAACTGAAGAATTGTGTCTTGCTGTTAACCTGGCTTGGGACTGCTGAACTAAGCCTGGACTTGTACTGTGAGATACTCTTTGCGGCCCCTACTCTCCCACTTCCTTTTCGAATAATCCTCATTGTTGGTACCATAACTGTAAGTCAGCAATGAATAAACCTCTGCTGCTGAGCTCTAGAGGCTCTATGGGGCTGGGCTATGGGTTCTTTATCTGCTTTCTACTCCAGGGCAGTGAAGGGCTGTGCTATTCTTACTTCCTCTGGCCCTTCTGAGAAATGTTCATGGCCCTGTGTCCTTATGTCGGTTTTCTCTTTAGACAGTCAAGGAATAGCTAAATAGGCAGTAAAACAAGGAAAACCAAAATAATGACTTTGATAATTATTATTGATCAGCGCAGAGTGAGCTTGGGAAGGGAGCTCCTGGGATACTGGCAATATCCTACTTCTTGACATGAGTCAAGTGACATTCCTCACAGTCACTTCACAACCAATCACACTGTGCATTTACATTTTTCCTGTGTGACACTTCTGTGTGTAAAAGTTTATTATAAACAAGGGATTAAAGTAGATTCATTGTTAATTTATTTTTCTTTAATTTTGTAAATAATATTAAAAAAGGGAGTTTTTTCTTGACATACAACTTCAAGACAAACAAAGATCTGATTAAGGAAATGGTTGTTGGTTTTTAATAATAATAATAAAAATAGCTACCAGTGAATTATGTTCTAGCAAAAAAAAAAATAGCTACTTAAAAATGTAAAACTAGCTATTTATAGTAGACAGTTCATCCCAGGGAGGGTTAAACCAGCCTGCTCCTTGGAGGTAAGGACTGTGAAGCTTTGTCTGACATACTTTGGACATGTTGCAAGGAGGGGATCGGTCCTTGGAGAGGATATCAAGCTTGGGAGTGTGGAGGGACAGTGCAGGAGAGAAAGAACTTCTATGAGGTAGACTGATTCAATGACTGGGGTAATTGTGGTAGGTGTGTCGGAGACAGTGAGATTGGTACAGGATAGAGCAGGCTTTAGGGCTGTTGTACACAGGGTCGCTATGAGTCATGGGTGACTTGATGACACCTAATGACAAACACAATCCTTTAATGTTTCTGTTATGTGTCATCAAGTCACCCACAACTCATAATGACCCTCTGTATAACAGATCTGAACCCTGCCCTATCCTGAACCAGTCTAACGCCAACATACCTGATCCTACTGCTCCAGTTACAGTATCAATCCATGTCATCTGGGGTCGTCCTCTCCTGCACTGTCCCTCCACTCTTCTGGCCACATGCCTAAACTCTGTGAAATGGAGCTACAAAATCCTTGCTTTCTTCCTCTTCCAGAGATGTTGTGTAGATGCATTCAAAATGGTCTAGCATCTGACCTACCATCGTAGGCTATCCTAGCCTCTAACAAAACTAGGCGGTCCCGAACTTGTGTGGCTGTGAGACCTAAAGTTCTCATGAGGTTGTCAAAACATGTCAACAGAGCTTATGGTGGTTCCATGTGTGCTAGGTGTGTCTGTGTCAGGGTCAAGGGTGCTGTCCTTATTGAGGAGCAGGACATTGTTGTGAAAGTACTGAAGGCACAAGCACAAAGTCAGAAAGCAATATAAAAAACACACTTCTTTAACAAAATCATATGACTTGTTCTGTTAAAAACATCTTTGCTTCCAAGAAGGAACTTGATTTCACTCTCTAACCTAACTCTAACTAACTAACTAACTAACTAACTAACTAACTCACTCACTCTAACTAACTAACATAGGTTATCTCTTTACTGTTGTGAGAATGAGAATAAAATGTGATAGGAAGGTATTTTAATTTATTAAAATGAATTGTAACAAGAAGGAGGAATGCGACTGGCAGTATTTTCACCTCGATGTAACCAGCAGAGCCTGCCACACACGTACCTTGGCTTGATGGATCACTTTCTTGTTCTCTCTTCAGAGTCACTGTCCTGTCACCCCTCTGAGCACGCAGTGCTTGAATTTCAGATAACAGACTCCTTCTATCTGCATTCTGGAGGCACTCCATAGCTGCTCTATATTCAAGACCCTGTAATCAAACCAAGGGAAAATCAAATGAAGAAAGTTAGGAAGACAAAAAAGTTAGCAAACAGGAAATGTGAAGACAAGTGAATGGAATATGCATCCTGAAAGTTTAAGATCTATTTAGTAAGAACAAATATAAAAGTAATTTTTACTTTTATTTAAAAATATTTCAAGCTTATATATAATTAAAGACATAAAAATGTAGTTAGTACTCAAATTAAGCCTGAGAAATAGCATCTGTACAGCTAAAGCTCCTGCTTACCTCCCTGAATGCATCTTTTGCTGCATCCCTGACAACAAGATAATCAGATTTGGTATTTGTTATTTTCAAGCACTTTTTATACCCATATCAGAAATACAGACATATACATACGCAGTATTTAGCTACTTCAAGATTTTTAGACAGATGGCATCATGGTGTATTTATCCTTGTGCAATTTGTCCTTTACTCTCAATACACTGGTAAATTATCTAGCTGACTACATAGCTATAGTTCATAATTTTTACTGCTGTGAATACAGTACTGCACTGTATGAATCACCAAAACCATTGCTGCTGAATTGATTTGGACTGTGACATTCCCTCATGTTTCTGAGGCTGTAAATCTTTATGGAGGAAAGTGCTTGTTTCTACTGTAAAACAGCTGGTGGATTTGAACAACTGACCCTTCAGTTATTAGACGACTGCAACACACTACTGTACCAGGATTTTTGACTCATACTAGACATTTTAATTAAGCATCTTTTCATGTTTATTATCTTCTCTGATCATGTATTTACAACAATTGTCAATTCTTCCACTGACACACATTCATGCTTAGGTTTTTATGGAGATTCAACTTCTCATTATTGCAACTTGTATTTTTTCTTCAACTCTTTCAGTTTTTGGTGTTCTTTGGCTTTCTAACTCGACCTTCTAAATGAGTCATTATAATATTTTGTCTTATTGGTTTGTCCTCTAGAATCTGCTCGTAAGGCTTAGAGCTACTACGGAGCACATCAGGAGGTCCACGGCGTCCATTTGTACCATTATTGCTGATGTTAACTGTGATTACTTGGTTGAGGTAGTATCTGCAGTTTCTCAGCTGTACTTATTTCCTCTTGAAAAGAAAAATGATCTTGTTCAAAAATTTGAAAAAATAATTCTAACCACAAAAGGTAAAGTACAAAACAAAACTTGAAATTCTCAGCCTTCAGACTTTCTGGAACCATGAAGGCTATGTTTAGATTAATAGTAAAATCTGAACTCAGTAAGTAGGAAATTCACCAACAGTCAAAACTTCAGCACTTTCCATTAAAATGAGCTACAGAAAAGCATACCCTATCAAAGTTGTGAAACATCTGAAATCCAGGAAAACAAGGCAGTTCCAGCTCTCACAGATGTCACTGCAATGTTTTTGTTGCTAGGTGCCAACAAGTTGATTATTATTCATAGTGTGACACTATGAACAACAGATTTGAACCTTACCCTCTACTTGTGCTATCTGCAAGATCTCTGATTATATTCAAGTCCACTGTTACAGTAATCAGTCAATCCATCAGCTTGAAGGTCTTCCTATTTCTCTGATCGTCTACCTTTCCCAGCATGCTGACTTTTTCTAAGGATTGGCCCCTCCTGTCAACATGCTGCAAGTATGTGAGACAAGGTCCAACCATCCTTGCCTGGAAGGAGCACCCTGGTTGCACATCCTCAAAGAAAGACTTGTTCTTTTGGCAGTCCATGGGATATTCAGTACTTCCCCCCAACACCACAACTCAAAAGCATAGATTCTTCTGTGCAATTTTCAGATGCATAGGAAGCAACTGAAACCACCATAGCCTGGACAAGGCATACATTTGTCTTTAAACCAACACTGTTGCTCCTTAACACCTTAAAGAGGTTTCTGACAGCCAATTTGCCCAATGTAACATGTCTTTTGATTCCTTGACTGCTGTTATTATGGATGATGATTCATTTTAATAGAATTTAAAACTCTTTTTAAAAAATGTGTTTTCCCTTAATCTTTTCAGAAATGGTTCTTGATTTTAACCTTCACCAAGAACAAATTCTTACTTAGGCAAAGGGCTGCTAACTAAAAAGTCTCACAATCTGAATGCCCCAGCAGCTCAGCAGGAAGATAAGAAGCAGTCTACTTCCATACATGAACAGCCTCGGCAATACTGGAGGAGATGGAAACTGGGAATCAACTTGGTGCCAGTGGGGTTCAGTCTGCTGTAACAGTATATACATTGCATTAATTTCTTTTTTCTTCATTATTTTAGTTCTTTTTGTGTTTTTTTTTAGCAAAGGTAGGCTATTCCTTGGAAAGGGACATGCGGATTGGAAAGATGGGAGGGTCAGTGAAGGAGAAGACGATTCCCGTTGAGATGGATGGACATGGTGACTTCAGCAATGGGCTCTGGTGTGTCAGAGATGAAAAGGACGGCACAGCACAGCGCAGGGTTTAGGTCTGTTTTTCATAAGGCCACTACGTGACAACTTTATTAAGGGAGCTCTAGCAGCATAGTGGGTAAGGAGTTGCCTGCCAATCAAAAGCTGGTAGTTTGAATTCACCAGGTGCTCTGTGGGATAAAGATGGGCAGTCTCCTCCTGTGTGATTTACAGCCTCAGAAAACCTGCTGAAGTGTTAGCCATGAGTCAGTTCCGACTCAGTAGTAATGAGTTAGTGACTTTACTTAAGTTCATTAGTTCTTAGTTTTCTAACTTCCTGAAGAGGATGAGAGTCTCATTTCTTTTCAGTCTTTCCTATTTTCTAACATAAAGGCAAACATTCCAAGTAACAATTTATCTTCAAAATAGTCTTACTGGTTCTTGATAAATGTTACTTTTCACATGGAACTTTAGCCTCTAAAATTAATCAGTAATTTAGTCTCTTATTACTATGAAAACATATTTCATGTTAATACCTGTTCTTGTAATCTCTGTTCCAAACAGTTTAATAAACCAGCTGCATCTCTAGTACCCAGAACCGTCAGTTCAGTCTGAAATGCAGCTGCTAATACACTGCGCTCCTTTAGGAAAACTTGCTGAAGGGCAATAAGAAGTTCACCTCGCCAGTCTGAGAAATGTTCATGAGACTGAGAATTATCATAAGCCTAGCAGAGCAAAAGAATCAAAAGTTAATTTAGTGCCTTAACTTTTTAAATATATTTTAAAATAATGGTTAATCTACTTAACCAGAATACTATTATAAACTTGAGAACATAACTTATTTTCAAGTAGGTGACTGAGAACATTTAAATAATATATACTAATTCATGTGGAAATATGGCATAAAAAGGAATTAAATTTGAAAAGCACTTTAAAATAGTACAATATATAATAACATAAATTAAAAAAAAACCAATCTGTCTCCATAATACTCATTGAGTACCTCAGATTCTCTTTGCACCTGCATTTTAGTAATCAAATCCTTAAGAGATGAAATTGTACTGAGGTAAGCTCTCCTCTCTTCCAGCCAAGACTCTGAGATTTGCTGAAGACAATGGTCTTCTCCATCACTATAGGGGGACTCCGTCAGAGAGAGCACCTGCATACCTTCGTTATGAACAGCTCGCAGTAAACCCTAGAAACCAGAACCTCAAAGTCAGAACTAAGACAAGTTCTTCAGGCACAGAAAAATAAGAGACATAGAAAAAGAAATCATTCTAATGCAGATAACTTCATCTAGTTTGACTGATATAGTAAAGTCACTACAGACAGGAAACCCCAGTTCCCCATCACTGATGTCTTCTTCTCATGGAAGGTGAAGGGAACAAAGGAGATTAATGACTTTATATATTCCTTTGGAAGTTCCTTCTATTTACTTAATGTGGTCTGCCTATATCTGATGAACAGCTACTGATCTAAGCAAAAAGAAATACATGAATATAAGTAACTTAAGTAATTGAGACTATTTTAATAATTTTTTTAATTTTCAAATTTTATTATTTTTGTGCGTGTACAGTCGCAAATGACTCGACGGCAAACAACAACAACAACAACAACAGTCAAATAGAATCTGACTGGTACAAGAGGAGATTGCCCTTCCTTCTCCAGCAGAACATCTGGCGGATTTGAACCGCATACCTCTGGAATTGCAGTGCAGCTTCTTGACACTAGGCCACCAGAGCTCCCTTTATTTTAATAATTTTTGCAAACAAAAATTTCAAGGAAAATTATTTTAAAAGTTTTCAACTGTTCATTAAACACACTGTATTTTATTATTTGTAAAAGAGGGAAACAAGCTTCAATTGATCCACAAGTTTCCTTCTAGCTATAGAGTTTTTATTTCAGAGATGATCGTATTACCTAAACTCTAAATACTATGCTCAATTTAGACAGTTCACTGGCTAAGCTTACCAGGTATATGTCATTTAGTACCTTTATTTTCTTTGGAAAAGAATCAGTTGAGCTTTCAGCTTCTTCTCCTTGGCCTTCTGATGCTACATCAAATCCCTGACTTTGTGTAAGATAAATTCCTTGACCCCAGTCTGATCCAGAATCTTAAATAAAGAAAGCAACCATTTACCATGTAATAAAATACTATTTTTATTTATTTTTTTAAAACTATCAAAATACAAGAAATTTATGTAACTTACCACTGGAACATATTTCTCTATTTTGGTAAGAGTCAGAATGTGTTAATTCAGGAATGGAGGATCCCTAATTAGAAAAAACAAAACCGTTTTTGCTTTAATAAAACTTTAGTCCCATGTATATTTTTATTTTTATAAGACTGTCAGAAAAAAAAAATCAATGAAATCTGTTACATCTTTCCTGGAAGATGTAATGAAACTATCCATTGTTTTCAACAAGTCTTTAATTTCTCCCTTACAGATATTACTATTATAAAAAGAGACTCTCAAAGGATTAAATCATCAGGTTTTAAATCTACACAAGAAATTTTTGGAAGGTTGCACAATACATTGGGATACAAAAGGTGGAAACAAAAAGAGAAGAAATGGTAGCTGGAAACCATGCCTCAGTGACAGGGTTAAGGGTAGGTTAGGCCAGCATCTCATAACTGAATTTTGTACAACAACTTATTCATTGCAAATACCTCTCTGTAAAAGCACAGAAAGAAATTATACACAAGGACTTCGAATCAGAGAAAAGACAGGAATTAAGGTGATAACATTTATGGAAAGAGACGCAGTAAAGCGCAACAAAATCAGTCAGAAAAAGGCTAGAGGCTGACCATGCAACTTCAAATTGAAGCAGAAGGGAAAAAAGTTTCCCCAAATCAAAATAGATTCTTGAGAATATACTACTTGATTTTAGATGTCATCTCAGGAAGAGATTTGATGCAATGAACACTAGTGACTGAAGATCAGATGAACTGAGGGATGGTATCAAGGATATTATACAGGAAGACATGAAAAGGTTATTAAAGACAGGAAAGAAAAAATGCTCTGAAACTTAGGCTGGAGAGACACTGAAGAGAAAGAAATGATGAAGAGAGCTGATTTCAAAGAGCAGATATAAAAGATATTTTAAGTATTATACTATTATAATAAAATATGCTAATATCTGGAATTTTTAAACTGAAGAAGAATATGTCAAAATACTAAATGATGATGCATCAAGAGAACATGACATGAATTTTACTAAGTATGAAAAGGTATCTGATTGTGTAGACCTTAATACCTTACAATCAACCTTTGACTTCCAAAAGAAAAAAAACAAATCAGTTTTGGAAAAAGTGAAGTCAAAGTAAGGCTTAGAATCAAAGATGGTAAGACTTCACAAACTATGGGCACATTATGTGGAGTGGCCAGTCCTGGGGAAAGGCATATGCTTATAGGAATAGAAAGTAGGCAAAAAAGAGTAAGACTCTCAATGACATGGACTGAAACAGTGGATGCAACAATGGATTTAGGCATAGGTGCTATTGTGAGGGTGGCACAGACCAGGCAGAGTTTTGACCTGAGGTATAGAGAATCGTGATTAAGTCAGAGTTGACTAAATGCTACCCAACAACAACAAACAATAGAAAGACTATTACAATTATAAGAGACTGCTCTGTAACTCATGGTGGCTGTGACACTAAACACTGTGACACTTATGTGTCAAATGCGATATTGGTTACCCATGGTGGACAGTGTTTGGTGGAGCTCCCCGATTAAAACAAGCTTGGAAGCAGGAATGGCATCCACTTCCGAAATAGCTTGCCTCCGGAAACCCTACAAACCTGGAGAAACGATGAAAGTTATACAAATGTTCAGTTCTGTTGTTCTTAGGGTGCTATGAGTTACCTATGACATGACGGCAATTAACAACAACAACAACAGCCTTCAAACTTATTTCTCTTTGAAAAATCATGATCTACTTACAAAAGGTGCGCCTGATACAGGCCATGGTTTTTGCAATCACTTGTTATGCATCAGAGAGTTGGACAATGACTAGGGAGGATAGAAGGAGAATTGACTCCTTTGAGCTGTGGTGCTGGAGAAGAGTACTGAATGTACCATGGACTGCCAAAAAAACAAATAGATTTATCCTAGAGAGGGTTAAACCAGGCTGCTCCTTGGAGGCAAGGATTCTGGGGCTTCGCCTGACATACTTTGGACATGTTGAAAGGAGAGACAGGTCTTTGGAGAGGGACATCATGCTGGGCAGAGTGGAGGGACAGCGCAGGAGGGGAATACTCTCTATAAGGTGGATTAATTCAGTGACTGGGGTAATCGGGATGGGTGTGTCAGAGGCAATGAGATTGGCACAGGATAGAGCAGGGTTTAGGACTGTTGTACATAGGGTCGCTATGAGTCACAAGCGACTCGACGGCACATAACAACAACAAAAACAACAACTTACAAAACACAAATTTTGAAAAACATTTACCTCTTTAGTTCGGATACACTGTATCACTGCCTTCAAGGTACTGCATTCCTCTGTCAGTAACTGAACAGCAATATAATGTTCCCTTTTTAAGGTGTCTGTTTCAGATATATGTCTGGATTCCATGTCCAGTATTTCAGCAGCATGGAGTTCTTGCATCTGCTCAATTTTTTCAGTAAACTGACTGATTATTTCAGCGACTTCTTCTGATGAACATTCACTCTGTAAGCTGATTTGGATTCCCGCATTTCTAACATGAATTCGTGAGGTCTGATCACTGCTATTGACTTTGAGTGGCTCATCCGTCTGGGATGCAGAGCTTTTACCCACTTTAACTGGAAGTGGTTCAATGCTGCAGACTTTTCTGTTTTCCTTTTCCTTTGTCTCATCTTTTTGTAAGAGCTGGGATAATTTCTCTTTTGCCTCTGCGAGTTCCTTCTTAACTTGACTTAAGTCATTCTGAAGAAAGTTCACATGTGTTTCTTTTACCTAAAATATAATCGAAAACAGGAGAGCTTGCCATTATGTTTTCATATCAAATGTAGAATTTAGAGAAAGAGGATGGATAATCCTTTCCTCATTTAATTTTTCTCAGAATATTAGGAAAACCATTTCTGAAACACATACTTTCACATCTATACATATATATATATATATTTATATATATAAAATAAAATTCATACATATGTATGACCATTCATTAGTTATAGGATTAAATTTTATCAGCTTTTCTTTTTGGTTCTCATTGGATATCTGGTCTTTCTCCTTGACTAGTAAGTTAGAGAATAAAAACATTCTCTTAATAAAGAAAATGATGGTAAAGAAATTAATAATCACAGAAATTTTTTATCAAATACACAGAACACATTTTTTCCTAGCTTTGAAGTTATACAGAAGGAACGCGAGTAATGTAGTGAGGCTATGCACTGTACAATGAGCTATATGTTTGGTAACTCAAATCCACCAAGATGCTCCTGAGGAGAAATTGAGTTAGTCTATTCCCACTAAGAGTTAAAATTTCTCATCTCAGAAACCTAACGGAGGGTTTGCCAGGAGTTAGAATCCACTTGACAATAGGTTTTGGATTTTTTTTTTTTTAAAGTTATGGGTCTGGGTTGTTTATAGAAAGTACTTTGGCATGAAATTAATAAAGAATAAGTTAATTAGTAAGTATGGTAGTTATTTTACCGAAAGCTCTTCTTGAAACTTTTCTGCTTTTTCTTTGTAACTTGCAAGCTCTTCTTTTGTAGCTGCTGACTCAGCTCGAAGAATCTCAAGTTCACCCCAAAATACACTTTCTTCATTGGTATGAAATAGCTCAGTAGTTGTCTGAATGGCAGTCCAAAATATAAGAAATATACTTTTTAAAAACTGGAAGCAGAGGGATGAGGATGTGCAGGGGGAGGGGGAATTAATCATGGGTTGTTTGATGGGTGGGGGGATGGGAGAAATTTAAAGAATTTGTTCTCGAAAACAATGTATTTGAATTTTATAAACTGGTAGAAAAGAAAAAAAAAACCCTTAACCAGTTTTAAGGCACTCATCCATCCTAATGAAACTTTTCAGAAATGTCTGCTTACATACAAGAGGAGCTGAAATGATCAATGTTCTTTTGTTGGGAAACTTTTTTCCAAACCATCATTTTGAGGACAATAAAAAAAGAAAAGCTCTCATGGGATTTAAAGGGAAATATTATTAGTCTTATATTCTGAAAACTTTGTAAATTATTAACAAAATATCACAGCATCAAAGTTTTACATTATTTTACTTGCCCTCTCTTAAAATTTGTAATTTAACACATAAGGCCATGATTAGCCTTAAGAAAGTATGGTTCTAGGGGAGCTCTAGTGGCCTAGTGGCAAGAAGCTGCACTGCAATCCCAGAGGCGCATGGTTCAAATCCACCAGATGCTCTGCTGGGGAAGGAGGGACAATCTCCTCCTGTACCAGTCAGATCTGATTTGACGGTACACACACACAAAAATAATAAAAAAAATAAAATTAAAAAAAATTTTAAAAAAAGTATGGTTCTGTACTCTTTTGGTGAGTCTATTATTTTTTTAAAAAAATTATGCTTAATTAAATAAAAAAAATTTATGCATTTAAAACAAAGGCCCAGGCATAACTAAGATCGTCTGGTAATTTTCATCACTAATAGGAGACCATAACCAGCATATATATTAGGGGGAAATACCCAGTTAAGTCCTAGAGCACATTTGCTAAATTAATATTTCTTTTCTTAAATTTTTTTTAAATTGTGATTTTAACAATAATTTATAGAAATGTTGGATTTTCGTTCATAAATTCAATGTGTAAAATTAGTATTTCAAGCTGCTTCTACAGGTTCTACTTAACTGATCACACTGATGAGTTAAATAATTTGATTTAAGGACCACAAAATATAGTTTGTATCCATTACTGTAATGGTGAAAGTATGACTGCACAGTATACTAACAGCAGTAATAATTCTTCTAATAATTCTAAAACCTTTTAATGAGTAATTTGGTAAAAATCAGCATATTTAATTCAGAAAAATTTGCAACCACCTTAAGGAACAAAGGAAAGGACACTGTTCATTTAAGGGAAAAAGAAAAACCAAACTAACCTCAAGGACTTCAGAGTTTGTATGAAGGCTTCTTTGCCTTTCACCTCCTCCAGGAGTTTTTTCATTGTCCTTCAACAGCTTCTGTAGTTCCAGCAGCTTCTTTTCTTTTTCCAAAGCATTTTTCTCTGCAGTATGTACTTGCTCTTTTTCCAAAGTCAAACAAGTATTCATTTCAATTACCTGACTTTCTAATTCTGATATTCTTAAGGTTAATGCAGATATATTTGACTCCATCTCTTTCTTTGTTAGTTCATTTAAATTCTCTGTATTTGTCCTTTCAGGTTTTGATGAAACTGCTGATCTATCTTCATAAAATTGAGCATATTCCTGAACTGCCTGGAGTTGGACCTGACTCACCAGGGCAGCAGCAACCTTTTCTTCAACCATTTTCTGGAGATTTACAATCTTTATTTTAAGCATTTCTGTTTCAGACTGGCTTTGTTTTTTTAAGTCTTTTATTTGATTATAGCACTGAGTAAGTTCTAAGTCTTTTGCACTGACAGAGCTCTCAAGTTGCAGCAACTTCGCTTCCAAACTATTTACTGAAACTTGGCTATCTTCTTCAAAAGATTGGTGAGGCTGCTTATCTACGAGTGCAATAGTATCCTTAGCCAGCTCTATGCCTACTTCAGTTTTGTCTGTGCTTGGAACATCTACGACCATGTTAATACTTTTCTCTGGTATACTCTGGATCTCTCTCATGCTTTCATGTTCTCTCTTTAAGGTACATAACTCACGTGTTAGCTGATTCACTTTCAAATTGGTTTCTTCAAGTACATTTTTTGTGAATGTCATTTCTTCTGTAGTGGCTTCCACTTGCTTTTCTAAAGCTAGCTTTTCAGCTGTTACTATTTCTAACTGATGTTTTAAACGATCTGTTTCGTCTGGGAAGGCATTAGTATCTTCTGAGGTCTTCTGTTCAATATTTGCCAATTCCTGTTGAAGTTTTTCAATCACGTCATTGAGTTGTTCTATTTCTTCATCCTTATTTTTTTTCACTCTTTCTTGGTCACTTAGCAAACATTCTATTTGGGTTTCAAGATTTCTTATCAGCTCATTTTTTTCTTCAATAACCTGATATTAATGAGAAGAAAGTAACAGATGTATTACATAAGTATATATATATTTTAAGGACTTCATTATTTTTTAAGGCAGAACTTCAAGGAGATAAGCACACAATAATGTATTTCTTAGGTGTATCATTGCAATTTCAATGCAGACCAACCCTAACACTTCAAAAAAGACCTCATTTATAATCTTTAGAAAATTCTACTAAGTGTAAAATAATTTACCTTTTTAAAAGCTGATTTCCTTTTTCAAAAGCTGAGTAAATGTCAAACTAAAAAACCCCACCGTCACTGAGACAATTCCAATGCATAGTGACATGATAGATGGGCATCAACATATTAGAAACGAAGAATTAAGTAGTGAAATAAAACTCCTCCAGCAGATGGTGCTCATGGCATATCTTAGCCCACTCAAAATCAAACGGAAGACCTTTTAACATGTCTGCTTACAACAGTATGATGAAAGTGGAGCCATCAGAAATCCCTTGGAAAATATGAACATTCTCTGATTTTAAATGTTCTCTTCATCACCTTTGAGTCAGAAATGACTTACAGTTGAACAGAGCCTGTAAATTATATAGGTGGAGAATTCCTCTTTTTTTTCCAATTCATACTGTCAGAGGCCCTACTTTTTGATAAGCGGGGCAAAACTACACATAACATGAAGAAAGATGAAAAAAGTGAAGATTTGCTTTTTTAATGAAAAAGGAAACAGAAAAGGTTTAACTATTTTGCCTTTAAAAATTCTAGCTTGAATTAATCTCAATTTCCACTTTTAGATAATTTTACCTTGTTATCTGTTGTAATTTGAAGTTGCTGCTGAAGTTTTGTAATTTGTTCATTTAACTGTTCAATTTCTATCACTTTTTCCTGTATCATCTGGGAAAATTTCCCAAGGAGATGATGTTGGTCTTGAGTAGATGTCACATCAAATTTCATTATGGCAAATCCTAGTTTCTCCATCTCATCCTAGGGATAAAAATAGCCATATTAATTGCATATAATATTCTATGTCATTTTCAGATAATTCTTTTATTAATTAGCTCTTATAAAGTACAGAGTCTAAAATGTACAAATGAAAATATTAGGTTTCTCGTATAATTATTCAGTAATTATTAAAATGCTTTGATGAAAATCTTAATAATGTCATTCGTGATTAATTTAAATGTTCAGGTTGGATTGAAAGCAAGTTCCACACAAGCCCTGCTAATATACTTCTGTGAAGGAGCTGGTGTTGCAAATGCTTAATAAGGCAGATAAGCGTCAGAGATGACTCTTTAGAAATGTAAGTTTTTAATGAGTTACCTTAAATAATTTGTTTTCTTGCTGAAGCTCTTGTAGTCGAGTAGTAGATTCCTTTTTCTGTATTTCTAATTGCATATGCAGTTGCTGAACTTCTTCATTCTTATTTTCCAGCTCTTCTCTAAATTGCTCTAATTGTTCTTCTAAGTTTGTGATCTTAAAACCAAAATTATAAAGCAGAATTTAAAAATAACCCCAAAAGTACTTTATACAAATGTCTGTTCCTCTCAAGAGTGATGTAATAGCCGTCAAAAATATGTATACTTAAAAAACATGAGGCACAAAAAGAGAAAAGTGGTTTTCCTTAGGTACGTGTGTGGTTTTCAGTTAAGTTCAAATGAGAGAAGAACTTCTGAGGAAGGGTACAAGAACTGCTTTCTACCTAACGTGTCTTCTCATGAGACATCAAAAAAAGTATCATGGGAGGAAAGGAAAGAGATCACATTTGACTCCTCCTTATGTTCTTTTAGGTTCAGCTGTTATAAAAGAGCTAAACCAAATCAAAAAGGTGTAGCATGAGCTCAGCTGTTTCAACGGTCAAGTGATATGAACCCAGTTAGCAAAAGGAAGCAGCGCCTAACATGAAGATTGAAAGATTATTAAGTCTGAATTCTAGAAACGTGTGTGTGTGTGTGTGTGTATGTGTGTGTAGGGGTTATTGGTGACCTAGTGCTAAGAATTTGTGCTGCAATCCTGAGGGCATGCAGTTCGAATCCACAAGCTGCTCTGTGGGAGAAAGACGGGCAATCTCTTCCCATGAGATTCTGAAAACCTTCTGACTTGATGGCATACAAAACCAACTTAAAAAGTATAGTTTTAACATAATTTTAGGAGAAAAGAGTCTTGGCTCTTTGGTGAGAACAGATTATCATTAATTATAAAGCAACTGCTCTAACTGGTGGTAATGCAAAGACCGAAATTAATGATGAACATTAAGAACTAGTTCTAGGGAGCTCTGGTAGCTTAGTGACAAAGAATTATGCTGGCAATGCAAAGGTATGTGGTTTGAATTCACTAGCTGCTTAGTGGGAGAAAGATGGGCAATCTACTCCTGTGTGAATTATTGCCTCTGAAAACCCACTGGAGGTCAAATATGGGTCAGTTTCAACTGGAAGGCACATAACAACAAGATATCCTTACATTACAAGTAAGTTCCATCGACGACGGAAAAGGTTTAATTAACCTCAAACACTTAGCTCAATGCTCTGTAGCTAATAAATATTTCATGAATGGATTTTCAAATGTGTATTTACCTAAAAAGAAAAACTGTCACATGACAAATAATCCAAACTACTTAATGTTTTGTTCAGGAATACAGAATATGAATGCTAAAAAAAGGGTGAAAAATGTGAACAGGATTAAAATTCTTAAAGAATCTGGACTTCTGGAACCTCTCAAGGCTAAGAATTCTCAAGACTATGGGCTGAAACTGCTTTTGAAATCCTGAATTGAAACTATTCCCTGAAGTCACCTTTATGCTAAATAACAGTTCAGCCTATTGAGTAATATCTCACCTTTGAGAACTGTTGTGGGTTTTTGCTTGCTTTAAAAATGATTGTATATAAAGCCAAAGGATCAACAGTTATTTCAAAGCACAGATAATGAAACAACCAGAAGAAAGATAATGTGACTGTTGACATGGTCTAGAATGTAATCAACTGTCATATATCAATACATCTAGAAACTGGAATGGCAATAAATTTTGACACCCCCCAAGTCAATTTAAAATGTAGGTGCAGCATGGCTGGGGCTCAGAGAGCAGCCCACGCATGAATCACTGTCTGAGGTGAAAGGGGGCACATGTTGGTTACATGCTGACATGTAATTAGAATCACCTGTTCCTACCGGCAAAGCAGAGATCACTAGAAGTCATTTAACTCAGTCATTTATCCTAAGACTGTCTAAGAAGAAATAGTATCAATACTAGTAGTAATAGCCATAATTTGTAGATGACTTCCTGCCATACACTAAGGACTTTATATGTAATACTTTAAAAAAAATCCTATAATAACCTTATGGAGACTGTACTATGATTCCTTCATTTTAGAGATCAAGTAATGGACCCTGATGTCATGAGGCTAGTAAGCAGTGAAGCCAGTTTCTGAATCTTAGGAGTTTATCTCTGGAGCCTTGTATCCTAAACTATCACTCATCCTGTTTTAATAAGCAATGTGAAAGATATTTAAAGATGTTTCTGTAATACTGGTATTTAAACTTAACAGACATTTTAAATATGTCTGTTAGTGGCTCTACATATATAATTAGCAGGTAAGCTTGTTGACAACTCCAATGATTATATGGTTTTTGAAGTTATATAATAATATTTACCCCGTGTCTATCTTTTACAATTACTTTTAATGACAAGGTTTTAGTTTAACATCAACATATACATAGTTATTTAAGTTCAAAATTGTCACCCTATCTTACCAGATATGTACTTTCATTATTGCTACAACAGTTTCTGGCGAAATCTTGGTTCTGTGATCCAAAGCCTTGCTATCCTGTGTGGCACCTTGGGCTGCAGAACTGGTCTTACCTGGGAGCATGCTAGACACCCTGAATCTCAAATCTCGTCCCAGAGTCTGAATCTGCATTTTATCCAGCCTCCCAAGTGATTAGCATACGCAAGAAATGTAAGAAATATTGGTTTAAGTCATTAACATTCCTACTATAAACAGCTGAACTTTAGGCATCACATTACAGACTTCAATGTCCAAAAAATGCCATCATAAGAAATTCTTCCCTCTTAATTAGCCAGATTCCAACTTCAGTCACAGCCTGTTTATTACTGTGCTTGTAACAACTAAATATAAGACCAGGTTAAGCTTGAAAAGAAACTGATAGCTATATATTTTGATCTTGTTTATCTACCAACTGATGCTTATACTGTTTGGATTCTATTAGTTTTCATTTTATGTCTTTCTTTTTAAAACTACTTTTGTCTCTTACATGTGTGTGATTACTCCTTAATCAGAAAGTAATTTCCTTGAAGTCAAGGGCTATTTTCACAGTTGGCCAGCATTGCACTACACATAGCAAGAGCTCAATAAATGCTGACTGAATTTCTGAAATATTTTTACCAGCAAGGCAACATATACAAAGATGTTTATCTTTGGTAGTGCAGCATCATAATACAGCATTGTTTATTCCCAGATTCCTCTGGATTGAATCCTTATTCTCCTACTTACTGTGTGAGCATGAGCAAGCTGCTCAACAGTTTAAGACTCAGTTTACCCATCTGAAAAATGGGGACCAAAATAGAGCCTATCTGCAGGGTGAGTATAAAGATTAAGTAAGACAGGCACTTACAACATTTATTAGCACTTTCCATTACACAGTCCTCAATAAAGGAAATTTTAATTACTTATTATTCCTATTTCTAAGCTAGCTCTCATTAACTTTACAGAGAGCCAAAATTTAATAAAGTATTTTTTTCCTTAAAGTCTTCCTATGTCTTTTTTTCATGTTATTCTTTTCCTCTTACCATCTTTCAACTCCCACATGATAGTATTTTAATTAGTCTTGCATTTATAAATATTATAATGAACTTAAAAAAATAATTTTGTAAAACTCAGGCTTATGCAAGTGACAGAAAATATCTCAAAAACAATGATACAAATGGACTTCACCAGATATCTGTGAACCTATATCCAGTGTAGGAAAGAGTGCTTAAGAAGTTATTTCCAGGAAAAAATACCAACAAAACAAAACCACAAACAATGAAAAAACACCACAAACACCAAAAACCAAGCCCATACATTTTACATGTACTTTTCTGTCTCTTTGTTTCTATGAATTCAGTTATTAATGAGGGAGAGGGTTTTGACAGAGTATTTGTCATCTTTATAAAAAACTAGAGAAAGAGGGCCAGCCATTGTATTAACAATTTATTATTTCTGGCCCTGTAACCATATTTGTAGAACGAGGAAGACTTGTTCATGATGTACCTAATTTATGTGTTCCCATGTTCATTGTCTTACAAATCAATTTAAGGTTAATGAGTTCAGACATAATAGTCTAAATTTCCATTTTAGAGCACAAACGCCATATGTTAACATATTTTCTTTTTTAAAAAAGAAAATTAAAAAAATTTTTTTTGCATCTGTGTGTCGTCAAATCGGATCTGACTGGTACAGGAGGAGATTGCCCCTCCTTCTCCAGCAGAGCATTTGGTGGATTCAAACCACATACTTCTGGGATTGTAATACAGCCTCTAGCCACTAGGCCACCAGAGCTTACCTTAACATGATTATTTTCAAAGTTAATTATTTAAAATAATGGCAAAAACCTCCTTACCTCTTTTTCCTTCCTGTCTATGGCGTCTCGCTCAGCTTGTAGTTGTACTTCAAGGGACAATTCTGCTTTAGCTTCTACTGCCCCAAACTGTTTTCGATCCTCTACCTTTAAATATATAAGAATTTCCACGTTTTTAAGACATTAAATCTTTTTTCTTTTCTACTGAAATTTTAATGGAAGCTTACAGACTTTGGACTTCTACTCATACATTGTTGCACTTTTTCCTCACTGCCACCAGCCCCTAGTTCACTTTTCTCTTTGAAAAGAAAGAAAAAGTCTTTCATTGTTATACAACCCCCCGCCCCAGTCCACTTTACTATGCAGCTCTTATTCTGGGCTCTTGTCATGAAAAGAATACCTAATATATATTCCTTTTAAACAGTTCTCTCCCTCATCTGTTTCAATGCAGTATACATTATTTATCCCCTCTTTAGACATTAAATCTTGATTGGCCCTTTTAATTCATGAAGCCATTCTCTAAGTAGAATGAGAAAATTTACATTATTGAATAATCAAAAAGTTACATATAGTCAGCCTAGAATGGATTTTATACAAAATGGAGCAGGAAAGTTCAACATTCTCAAAATTTGTTTTACAAATAAAAGATTATTTCTCCATCTGATCTTCTCCCCAGCTTCCACAGAAACTTCTTTTCTTTCATGTATTTTTGCTTACTGCAATAACAATGTGATATATATAATAACTTACTAGTTTTAAAGCATCAGTTTAAAGTGCCATTAATAATTTTTTCATTGGCTCTTACTGTGGACCCACAACTCTGATGGTTAAAGAGATAATTAGTTCTTTTGGTCTAGTTAAATCTCTCTTTCTTAGAATTAAAGTATACAAAATAACATTTGAGAATGGGGTAAACAGAAATTATATGCTATTAACCATAGGTAAAAATATACATATGTAACAGTATCAATAAGAAGTCAACAGTAATTTTTAAAGGTAATTTCTATTATAGCACTTAGTTACATTAACCAAAGAAAATGGCACACCTTTTGAAGACTGTCTGCACTCATGAGTAAGGCCTGCTCCAACTCCCTTACTCGGCACTCTAGTTTCTCAATCTCTTCGTTTCGTTCTTGGATATCCCTCTGAAGCTGCTCTTTGGATAACAGAAGCTCACTGCACTTGTCTGTTTTCTCCTTCAGATGATTTGCTAATTGTTCAACCTGGAAATAGAAAAGTTAAAGAAAGTATATATAGATACATATGTCTATTCTAGTCTATTAAAATATTTCAGCAAGATATTATAAAGCACATCCTCACTCAAAAAAGCATTTTTAAATGGCAGGCTAATAAGATTTTTGCTAAAGATAGCTATTTATTTGTTCTAAGGTGGTATCATTATCAGGGTAATAAAAGCAAGTAGCGCTAATAAAAGAAAAATAATGTTGTTTCCATGGTCTGTGTGTGTGTATGTGTATTGTCAAATTGGATCTGACTGGCACAGGAGAAGATTGCCCCTCCTTCTGCAGTGGAGCATCTGGTGGATTTGATCCATGTGTCTTCAGAATTGCAGTGTAGCTTCTTGCTTCTAGGGCACCAGAGCTCCTTCCAGGGCCTTTCTAAAAAAAATTAATTAATTAATCTATCTATCTATCTAACTATTTATTTTTTAACTGTGATTCGTGCAAGTTTACAGAGTAAACTGGTTTTCCAATCAGTAATTCATAAGTATCCTGTTTCATGACACTGAACTACAATTCCACGATGCAACAAAATCCTTACTATTTCTTCCTTGTTGTCTCCATTCATCTTTCCTTCCTACTCGCTCCTGCCTTCTGAGCTTCTCTGGTCAAATGCTGCCCTATGATTACAGAACTGTTAAGGTGAAAGTTGTGTGGCTCAAGAGGAACTAAGGGCCCTTGGGGTTTGAAATAGTCTTTATCAGACTGATAGGTTGGATCCTTTTCTTTCCCCTAAAATTTGTAGTTTTGTTCCACATTTTTCTTCCACACTTTCCAGGTGCTTTCACTGCAGTGCCATTCAGAGCTACTGGCAGTGGAAGTGGGCACCGTCTCGTTCTAGTCTCAGGGTCCTAGCGGCTGAGGCTCCTGTGGTCAGTCACTCCTTTGACCAGGTTTCATTTTCTTCACACTTCTTTGTTTTACTTGGGAAAAAAACAACAATTGCACCAAAGAGTCAGATAACCTTTTTAAAAAAATTCTTTCTCTTAAGACTGAGACTTTCTCCAGAAAAAAGGAGAAAATAATCAATTTTTGAATAATGGAATTACAGGTCTTAAGACATAATTGCATGAAGCCCTTAACAGAAACGACAGATTTGCAATGTGCTGACTTACTATTTTATTTGAAATAAATTACCTAGAAAATATTACTTTGGTTTTATTTTTATTTTCTTTTTCATTCAACAAAAAGGACTGACATAATGACCACCACAGTGGACTGGAGCATGACAAAGATCATGGAGATGACGCAGGACAGGGCTAGGTACAGATCTGTGGTTCATAGGATCTCTATCAAGAGCAGCTGACTTGATGGCTACTAGTAACATCTCCTGACCTGAGAGAAAGATGAACAATCTTCTTCTGTGTGGTTTGCAGCATGTAAAAACTTCCTACAGGGTCAGCTATGAGTTGATTCTGACTTCACAGTAATGCATTAATTTGTTGGACTCTTAACTCGTTGTTGTTGTTAAGTGCAGTCGAGTCGCAGGCAACTCACTGCAACCTTATGAAGGAGAGTCCTCAGCACCTGGGTGCCTTTCATCCTCTCTCTAGGTTCATAGGGTTTCTGGAGGTAAGCTATTACGGAAGTGGATGATACTCCTGCTTCCAAGCTTGTTTTAATCGGGGAGCTCCACCCCACTCTCTGTCCACACTGGGTAACCGACCATTAATGCATTTGACACATCAGTGTCACAGTGTTCAGCCTCACAGCAACCACAAGTTACCACTGTACGGCAACTTGTACACCAGGGCTATATGACGTAGAGGAATGTTGGACTCTTACTGACTGCCATGTTATCTGGCGTTTTACAATAATAGGTTTTGGGTTTTTTTAAAAAAATCCCCTATCTTCTATTTTGCTCAATAATAATAATATATGTTTCATAGTAAAGAGGTATGAGGTAGAGTAACACTGGTTGTGATGTTTAAAGTTATCTGTCAACTTGGTTGGGTAATGTTTGTCAGTTAAATAATGATGACATTTACCAGTGATGATTTGATGTAATGCTGATTTTTTCATAACTATCTGGCCTTTGAAACATAATAATGTCATTAAGAAAGAAGTGAGCCTATAATTGCATGTTAGTTTAAATTTTTTTTAAAATTATTATGTACTTTATTTTATATTCAAGACAGAAATTACTGTAAGCAAGCTCAACAAAGTTTTTACCTCTCTAGTTTGGTGTTCACTGATAGGCTGGAATCGAGGTACAACTTTAAGCTGCTGTTCCAGCTTCTGTATTTCCTGTTGAAATACATCTCTCTCATGTTCTCGATCAATGGCTTGCTCCTAAAGTTAGAAACAGTACTAATTTAAGAAGCAGTATTTATTAAAGCTATTTCCCCCATACCTCCTTTAAGCACAGACAGTTTTGTTTGAAGACAAAGTACCTACACACAATACCACAATGGTTTAGAAAGGTATCATTCTTCCAGAATACACAGCATATACTGGCTCGTAAGCAACAATAGAAGGAAGCATTCAAGTAAACTCTGAAGCCCAACAGTTCTTTTAAGAGAATTTAAACTAGAAGGTTATATGAAAGTAAATTATGTGAAACACAAAATGGAAAAAAAATGTATCCTCTTTCTAGAATAAAGGAGTAATTCCACTGTTAATCACCTTAATCAAATATATAAAACATGCTGCCTGATAAATTTCTTGTTTCTTATCTAGGTTTTATACTTAAAATTATAAAATGTAAGAATATCATTCTCTTATCTGATGTGAGCACATCAGACTTCAATAAAATTCTACAAACAGGAAATTTATACGAATTAGACATTTACACATTTTTTTGAGGAAGGGAGTAAAAATGCTGTTTCCATCCCTTCTTTAAGGGCATCATCTGAGGGTAAAATAGGGATGACCAATTAGATCTGTGGAGCAGTGTTTATTTTAACTACCAGTTAAAAGAAAGACAAAAGTATTGTAACTCTGAATTTAGGAAAGGTAGCTTTATGCATACTTTGTCTAGATGTCTTTGAATCCAGATAACTACAATAAATAATAAATGAGAGTTTTTTAATAGTACTTCTCAAATGACAATATATATAGAATAAAATATAAACAACAGTAAGAGAACTAAAGAACCTCAAAAATTAGTAGCGGCACATAACGCTCTACGGAGATAAGACTACTTAAATTGAGAATACTTACATCTAAAAATTTTCTCATTTTTTCTAACTGCTTTTCCAGGGCTTGGTTTTGCTGCCTCAAGTCCATTAACTCAGCAGATTTTTCCTGTTCCAGCTCAATAAATCTACTGACTTGTTCCTCAACATCTATTTCAAGAGCCTTCACTTGCTTTTGAAGGTCATCACGTACTTTTTCAGCTTGACATTGCACTTCCAACTTTTCCTTCATTAACTTCTCTGTCTCCTGTAGTAATTCTGTTTATGAATGAAGAAGTTACTAATGTGAATCACAAACTAATGATATTATAATGAAATCACCTAAAAGTTGTTCAAATTTTTTCATCATGAGATAAAAAGGTTTGTGTTTTAATGCAAAGCATAAAAAAATAGGGTGAATATAACTTAACTTACGCTTTCCACATAAGTAAACGAAGAAGTATAAAAAAATGATAAAGAACTAAAAAAAATTATACATCCTGTCACTAGAAAGAATATATCTGTGAAAACAGCATAGCAAAAGACAAATCTGTTTTCACTATGTAGAAAAGAACAAAACCTAAGTTTAAGAACAAGGAAAACTCACCATTTTCTTCCCTAAGGCAAACACAAATTCTTTCCAAACTCATAAAGTCTCTTTTATATTGCATACACAATACACATGAAGATCAAATACTGTAAATCTTTGACCAAGGCTATTAAAGAGTTATAGAAAAATAAACACAAATGTCAGATTTCCTGTTAGTCTTATTTCTTGTTAGATTCATTTTCTTGAGTTGCTCTTGCATGCTTATATGCACAGGCAAAGAAAACTGACAAGTCAGAGAGTGAGATGTAGTACTTATGAGCAGACTGTGGTTCCAATCCTCGCTCTGCCATTAATCATCAATGAGACACTATCTTCCAGTTTCCTGGCATGTGATAATAATAGTATTTATGATGTCTTACAGTTAATGTCTGATCAAATTATATAGCATAATTCTTAGGTATGCCTGGTAAGCACTATACGAGTGTTAGCTATTAAGAATAATAATTACAAATACAGCAGGAGTAAATAATTTCAAATGAAGAAGATAAAAAGGAACATGTCCCAAACTGTACTCAGAACTAGTAGTTATGTATTGCACTGTTTTCTACAGAAAACAGCTTTCCTTTTAAAACAACAATGATACTAGACGTTAAAAGTCAACCAACCAGAAAATTTCTTTTCTCAGATTTTTACCAGAGTTCACAGATCCATTTAAAACCATCATCTTATATATAATTCCTGATTTACAAAAAGCATTTGAAAAGTCATAGGTTGTAAGAGTTTAACAAATTTGTTAATGAAAAAGTTTTCAAAAACTGTATTCTTTTAAAAAGTAGAATTAAGTACTGCATTGAAGATATAAGATGATGGTCACTATGGATCTAACAGGTTAATTTTATTGTCAGAGGAGTTTTTGTTAGAGAGAAAAACTTTAAGTCTAAAACACAATAGCAGAACTGCAAATCAGAGACATGTTAGTTGGTTGAGAATCAAGGGTCACCCAATTTTCCGAGTTATGAGTCTACCACCCAAAGATTAGCCATGCACTTGCGTAAACACACCTGCTCCCGGTGCTGCATCAACTGCAGCATCTACTAGTCCTAAGAGAATAAGAAAAGAAAAACAAAACAAAACAAAAAAGATAACAACAATTTATATGCCTTCTATTTCCTCAAACAGAATAATGCACACACACAAAAAAAGAAAATGGATTAGAAGCAAAAGTTTAAGCTGATTATTATCACCGGTAACATTTTAGGAAATTTTAGCATTTTGCGGTATTTACATAAATCACAGATATATGCTCCACAATAAAAGTGCCAAGCCTAAACCCGCAAACTGGAGCAATCATAATGGACTTCACATAGTTCCAAAGCTTCTATATTTCTCATGTAGGAAGTGTAAAATTCGTGAAGCTACACATTTATATTTCAAGTGATAAAAATTAATAAAAGATTTAAAGTTACATCACTATAAATACTGGCATTTATAAATTACTACCTCACTTGGGAGAGATTGGAGGGCATTATGCTGAGTGAACTACCTCAGTCCCACAAAGACAAATACTGTATAAAACCATTATTGCAGAATGAATCTGAGGATTCAAGGGGGGAGGGTAGAAATAGAGGAGTGAGGATGGGGGTTAGGGTATTAATCTTAAGGTTGCACAATTTGATGGGTGGGTGGGGTGAAGGAAATGGGAAGGATCTTTTGTGAAAAACAATGTATTCAAACTTTGTAAATAAATCAGTATAAAATAAAAAGACTGGCATTTATTTTTAGCTCTATACAAACTTAACTTTAAGATGCTACTTAATTTATTTAAGAAAAGATGAAGGGTAATTTACAAACACATGTGCAAAGGCTTCTGGCATTATCAGGGAGCTCTGATGGCTAGCAGTGTGGTGGCACAGCCAATCCAAAGGCAGACAGTCTGAATCCATAAACTGCTCCACAGGAGGAAGATAGGCAATCTCCTCCTCCGCAATTTACAGCCTCTCAAAACCCACTGGGGGGACTGGCTATGAGTCAGTTTTGACTTGAAGACAAATAACAAGAACAGCATACTTTTAAATCTTTCTACTCACAGGTCAAATGCCACCCACAGCCTACACACTATTCGTGCCAGGCCTGTGCTCTGCTCTCAGTTATTTACTCTAAGGACAATTTCCCCCCCGCTTTTCTTTGGTTATTGAAGAGTCAAATCTTACACTATTTTAAAAATACCCTCATAACATAAAAAAAGTCTCATATCTGCAGCTTTCTCCTTGAGGCAGAGTTTGAGGACAAACAAGTTATTTTTTTATTAATATGTGCCCTTTGGAAGCAGGAGGAGTAGCATTCACTTTCTGAACAACATGCCTCTCGAAACAACATGAACTTTGATGAATGATGATAGTTATAGAAAGCCTTCAGGCCTTTTGTTCATATGGTCACTATGAGTCATGCTCATCTCGACAGCAATACACAACATTTGCCATTGATTCTTCTTCCGTTGTGCTTAGTTATTGTCCAGCTCTCTGACACATAGCAAGTAACTGCAAAGACCATGGCCTGGATTAGACACACCTTAATCTCTAGACTGACATCACTGCTTTTTAGTACTCTGCAGAGGTCCCTGACAGATTTTCTGAATGCAATTTGTCACTGTTTTACTGTGTCTTATAGGGTTAAAGTGAACTGGAATCAATTTGACAGACATTTTGCTTTGGTGGCCTGGTATTAAGAAGCCGTATTGCAATCCCAAAGATCCCAAAGGCATGCAGTAAAAACCCTCCAGCTGCTGGGAGAAGGACGGGCAGTCTCCTCCCATGTGATGAACTGCCTCTGAACACCTGCTAGAGGGTCAGCAATTGGTCAGACTGGTTCCAACTCTTTGGCACACAACAATGACATATATAAAGGGCAATGATTTTTGGCTTTGCTTTTAAAGAAAACATATGATAATGGAACTTCAGGAAAAAAAAAAGCCAGTTTGAAATTTTAAAGCTATAAATAAAATCAGGACAATATTAAAAAAAATTTTTAGTAATACATACGTTGTTCAACTGGGCCTGCCTCTGCTTTCATAGCCTCTTTCTGCCTGGACAGTAATTCTCTTTCTTCTTGAATCTGCTGTCGCTCTGCTTCCAATTCTTGTAACCTATTACCTGCACATAACAACTCCTGCTCAAGGCGATCTATTATGTCAGACTTTTCTTGAATTTGTCTTTCAAAAATATTTCTTTCGTCTGCATAGCCATCAATGACACCTATAAAATAAAATCAAGAGGCAAATGGATTAGAACTCATCTCAAATTTTACAAGTAGATTTTAACATAAACAATAACAGGTGTTCTGTTGGTAGAACTCTGAATCTTCCCAACCTATTTTATTTCTCTTTGATCTCTCTCTCCTCTTGATCCTGATTCTATTAAAGCCTTCGTGTTGGCTGAACCTCATCGAGATTTCTTGTGATGACACTGGCACTGCTTTCCAAGGTTCCCTTCTCCAAGTTATTTGCTTGGTTATTTTGTTTCGTTCCTTCATTGCTCCTCCAGATGGAAGGAGAATATCTTCATACCTTAGAAAGGTACTCACAAAGAACTAGATTTCTCTGAATTTTGTATTACTTTCCTATGTTTAAGTATCATATCATGTAAAGATAAGGATTAGAATCAAAGAGTTGTCAAGGTTTCGTTACATGAGCCATCAAAACGAGGAATCAGACACTGACACATGTGGAACAGTGTTTTAGGTGCATGAGTGATGTCAAAGGCATTAGACTGGAGTAAAAACTGCCCACCAAACCCTGAACTCTTCAAGACATCGTCTAATTGGCCCAGACATCAGCCCCAAGGCATGCCCAGAGGAGGAAGCCATACATACAGCCTCACCTCGGGGGCACACGGCTCTCCTCCTTTACTTCCTTTCTGGGGAGGACAGGCTTGTCCCTTTAGGATGTACATCTCTTATAAAATCTATTTTTCTTTTTTATCTTGACTTCTGCCACTTCTCCTTTCCTCTCAGTCTCATGCCTTAACAAAGGCCTTGGCCTACACTCTAAGCCTAGCGTTCCAGCAAGGTGTCAGCCTACATGCTTGGCCCAGTGCTCTAATAAGGGCTTGGCCTACATTGGATTATTTGGAGCAAGACCAACAATAACCCTTCTAAGGATCGTTACACTGTACACTAAAATCAGCCCTTCTCAGGGCTCCTTCCCATGCTGTCCCAAGGGCCACTGAAATTGCTGTACACGACACCACCTTGGTAGCTTGGGCACCGACCCCGCCTATAGTATCTCCTGCCTGGCTCACTCTGTAGCTGGGTGAAGGGAGTGAACTGAGGCACTGACAGCAAGGAAACTTAAGTGTAATTCATTTCATATCAAACTAATAGAGACAGATTCCTGGAAAGCTCAATATAAATGAGATGCTTTCAAACTCAATTACACTTTAAATATGTCAGAGAATAAGTTATAGTAGAGGTAATAGTATAAGTTTAATACCCCATAAAAGCACGGTAAAACAAACAGAATGAGGTTTTAGATGTTTCAACCGCGACTTCATCCTCTAATATCAGCTTAAACAAATTATTAACTAATCTTGGTTAGATTCACTCTCCATGAGTTGTTTTAGGGTAATGAGATTATGGAAACAACTCATTAGAAATCATTTTTATACTCTCTAAAATTCTCAGTATTTCCTGTAATTAATTCTATTAAATTTTTTTATAATTAAAAAAAACAACTGGAAGATAAGCCTCAACCACTCTTTAGTGGTCACTTTAAAATAGGGTGGTTGTTTCTAAAGCTCGGGGTGTATAACCACCTCTATTTTTAGATTTGAAATTTCTCCAGTCTCAGTTGCCAACAACAAGGCGCTTACCCTCAGCTTTACTGAGCTCCACAGCCAGCTGCTCCCTGGCCCTGGCCTCCTCATGAAGGCGCTCTCGCAGTTCTTCTTGGCACTTGAGGGACTCAGTTGCTTCTTGTTTTTGTCTAAATGACTCCCGCATCAACTCTGTCTGCGTAACTTTTGCATGCTCCAGCTAAACAGGAAGAGAAAGTACACATGAAGGGTTGCTGTTGTGGGCCGTAACCGACCCTCCTGCAGGTTTTCAGGAGCCTAAGTTGCATGGGAGGAGACTCCCAGCCTTTTCCCATGGAGACCTGGTGGATTTGAATCATGTGCCTTGGCACTTCAGTGCGTGCAGCTTCTTACCACTAGGAACCAGAGCTCCCTGTACATGAAGGGAGATAATGAAATCACTGGGCAGACCTGTGCCATTCCTTATTAATGCTAACTAAAAAGGATATTAAAGAAAAACAAAGACTCTTGAATTACAGTTACTTAAAAATGTTTATATTATTACTATAATGTTCTTTCTCATGTCTTTGAGTCCTTACTGACCCTCACTGTTTCTGAGGCATAAATCGCCGAGGAGGAGACTGCCCATCTTTCTCTCATGGAGTCACTGGTAGATTCAAACCACCAGCAAGACATTAGGTTAGTAGCATAAGCTCCTATGGATGCAGCCACCAGAACTCCTTGTAATGCACTGCTGTTATGTTCTGTCAACTCATAGCTGACCTTCTAGTGGATTTTCAAAGGTAGTAATGACAAGGGAGGACACACCCATCGTTCTCCCATGGAGCAGCTGATGGATTTGAATTGTATGTCTTCGGGGTGGTGGTGCAGCTCCTAAATACTAGGCCACCAATGCTCTCTTGTAACAGTTCCACTACACTAACAGTAGTACAAATCATGGTAAAAAAAGTACACTAGCTGTGTACAACTTTGCATAAAAAGTACATTCTAGTTTTGCTGAACAAGGTAAGAGACATTTAAAAAAAAACCAAAACCCCAAAACAAATCAAACTGTTATCACTAGATTTGCATTCTAGCAGATACAAGACGTTATAAGGTTAATGAAGCACAGGAGGCTTTTGTGTCTTTGCGAAAGTAACTGTGTCCTAGGATAAACTTTTACCTCCTTTTTATTTGATAATTCTACTTACTGTGATTTCTACAGTGTCTGCTATATCCTATCATGTACATTATGGGAGACTAATCATCTATGGTTAATAAAATGACGATGATACAAAACAAAAATCAGTGGCACAAGAAAAAGAAGATATCTTTTTAATATATGTGTTTTAACTAAAATTTTTCTATTTTTGTCCACTTGTGAAATATCTATAAATTTCTAAATGAGTATTCTTCAATTTATTTTCAAAATACAGAGGCATACAGAATACAAGGCATTAATCTCTATTACAATCTCTTTAAAATACTGTTACTGGCAAAGACTTATCTCAATTTGAAATAAATTCTAAATTAACAAAGTACCGAGGCTAATGTTCTCAATCAGGAGATAACTAGATCACCATTAGTGAATTCACTGCATAAAACTGAAAAAAGTATTAATAATATATTAGCTTTCTGAGCTTCTGACTGCCAGTACCTGCTTATCTGTTTTTACTGAAATGATGACATGGGGAAAAACATTCAAGATAAAATGATTCTAGTATTGAGTCCTAGGTCATTAACATTACTCAATAAATGTAAAAACTGACTAGAAACGTTAGTGACAGGCTCACACAATGCAGAACTTAAAAAGTTATGTGCACTAGAAAGACAGTATTACCGAATTTTAAATAAAATAATATTAATTGAATATAGTTTCTAAACTGTAATCAGTCATCAGCGATATATTAGGAAATTATGATATTTAAAAAGTTTTTTAAAATATAGTTTATTGTTATGCAAAAGACCTGTGCACTTGCCACATGAGTCTTATTTACTGTAACAAATAGATTTTAGAGTCATTCTAAATCAACTTCCAAAATATCGGGTATTAAATTTTTTTTTAAAAAAGAGCATGTGGTATGCAATTATTCTTATTTCAATAAGATGTTTATAGTATCTTTCACATTTTATTATTTGAAAATAATATGAATGTATATTTACCATTCAAAATAAAAATTGTTTGTTGTTGTTATGTGCCATCAAGTCGCTTGCGACTCATAGCGACCCTATGTACAAAAGCCCTAAACTCTGCTCTGTCTTGTGCCAATTGCACTGTCTCTGACACTCCCATCCCGATTATCCCAGTCACTGAATCAATCCATCTCATAGAGGATCTTCCCTTCCTGCGCTGTCCCTCCACCCTCCCAAGCATGATGTCCTTCTCCAAGGACCGGTCTCTTTTTACAACATGCCCAAAGTATGTTAGACTGATATTATAAAATGTTTCATAAAATATTTATAATATGGTGTTACCATAAAGAAAGGCAGAATATTAGAAATATTTTGACCTTTGGCAAAAGACTTAGCAAAGGGTCCTTTTAAAAATGTACATAACTGATGCTTATTATGATAAACAAATAGAAACACAAAATAATGAACTAATTTGTGCTGAACTACTCTCCTGCTTTATAGCAACAATTCATATTTGAAAAATACATCAATTACTTCTAAAAACTCATAAATGCTTTTTTTGGTAAACCATATGACTAATTGGTACACACACAAAACCTCTATGAGTTCAAAGCAAATCCACAAGAGGATGCAGTTTCTTTTTTTCATTTTTAGAATTCACCATACAAACCAGCAAAATAAATATTTGCTTTAGATAAGAAAATGAAATAAATTTTTGTTTCAATATTCTACTTCTTGGTAAGATCTAAACTAGCCTTTAAGTATACTTTACTATTTCCATAAAACTACTGGAAATAAATACATCAGTCTTAACAATCAAACCTAGTAAATCTGGCAAATTAATTTCACTTATAATGGAAGGGACTCACAATTTTTTGGAATAGGAGAATTCTTTCAAATGCTTGTCCAAGAATTTTACACTCAAATCAGTTAAGTTTATCATTCCTTGAGTTAGTTCAGATATGCTTTATCTCCAGTATCAATGCTATTTGTAATACAATTTGATACTCAGTAATTTAAAAATATTTAAGAAATTTATTTGTTACCATTATATTAAAAATATGTATAAATACTGAGTTTGTTTGAGACAATGAAAACTTTCGGTGATAATAGAGAGTAGATACAACATGATAAAGTAATCAGTATCACTGAATCATACATGTAAAAGTGGTCAAAATTAACATTTCTCGTTAAATACATTTTACCACATAAAAAAATAAGTGTAATGCATAGCTAAATATTCTGTAACTGTCATATAAAATTTGCAAGAGAGGCAATAAAACTAACTTTGAAACACCATCTGGCTTGTTACATATTAGCTAGTACAGTACATTTAAAGTCATGAGGGCCACAGGAGTGCTGAGCAACTTGTATTTATCCTGAAGAACTTGTAGTGAATCATTCACAACATACGTTAATTGTTGAACCAGAAATACTAAATATGCCATCCTTTCTGCTAAACCCATTCACACAAAAAGCGCAAAAGAGGATTTCCTTATAGGATTAGCAGGCCAAAACCCAGCTTTTCCTTGTCTAGTTCTACAGTTAAAATGCCATCCAACTACTAACATTTCCAAATTGGCTCAAAGACAAGTCACTTGGATGTTTTAGGCATCATGATGCCTATTCTCTCAAATATAATAATTTCATTTTTTACTCAGAATTGAAATAAATACACAAAAGCAAGACTCTTAAAGACATGTAAGATTTAAAAAAATAATTCTCCTGGGATTACAGAACTGCAATATTCTATCATTCTGTTTTTATAAATGAAAAACATCGTCAAGTTAGGACTCCTGGACTGAATTTAGTCTTTCAAATTACCCATGATGAATGCAAAACAGCATTCCAAACAAACAAACAAAATTACACAAAAACCAACAAGACTCCAGGGCATTTCACCTTACTAGAGATAGGTAAAATTTCACCTCTCATCATACACAGGCTCTGAACTAAATCAGTACTTTAAAAAATACTTACTGAGTATGGAGGAGTAGGCAGTGAAATCCTAGAAATAAGCTTTAATACATGTCCATTTCTTTTATGTATAAAATGAAAAATAGAAGTATTAACAATTACAGAGTTATTTTCATCCAAATGCTCACACAGGGGAAAAAGATTTGGTAAAGGGATACGAGACTCCACCTCATAAATATCTTCATCTTGTTCTTCCAGCCATGAGCCATTGAGTCTGATGGTTGCTAAGTAAGTTCTGTAAGACTCCATTCTGGACCGAGCAGGTGCCAGTCTCCTCGTCTGCTTTTCAGTTTTCCATTACATTTAAAAAGTACTTTTTCATTTATCAAGATAAATTTTTCATAGCAGCATAAAAATTCTTTTTAGCACTAGCATGTAAATACTATAAAGTTAATCCACATAGTTTAACAGTAAAAAGGAATAAAAGTCCAGGGGAAAAAGTTGTCACAAATCTAAAAATAATCTAGATCTCCATGAGTCTTCATACCAAAAACAAAACAAAACAAAACAAACCAACAAAACAAGAAAACCTTCTAAATACAAATTAAAAACAAAAAAGAAAGAAAACAAAACAAGTTTTAAAAAACAGACTTTCAACTAGGAAAATTCATTTAAACCCTTAAAGAAAAGGAGAATAAAAATATAATCATCTCACTAGCTGTACAATAAAATAGCTTTCAATATCAAATACATCTATGTTAATAAATAAGCTTTCCAAGTACAGCCTGGCAGCGAAGGTCAAGTTTTAAGTCTCCATAGTAGCCGTCTTGAGAAATGCAGTTGCAACATTATTTCCCTTGTCCTTGCTGCTTCACTGATTCAAGAGTGAAAGCTCTTCTAAACTTGGCTATTCAGTCTCTCACCGCTGTGCCAAAGGATACTAGTCAGTGTCCCCTGAGGAAAAGGTCAGAGGAGCGGGTGTGGTTCAAAGTCTTTACCTATAGGTATACTGACAGGTGGAATGTGAATTAATACGCCCACAAAAATAAGCTTGCCTAACAGGATCCAAGTTCCACGTCAGAGCTCTGAACACAGCATTTAGACAAGTTTATAATGTGTCCAGAATAAGGGGGTGTTTTTCCATCTCATCTCATAAAAAAGTTTTCATTAAAAAATATGAAATCAGTATGC